ACTTCAGTTCGCCTAAACAAATGTTTATGAATAGTTGGCAATGTGGAGGTCCATAGTCCGGGAATGCGTAGTGAGATGTCGGTCATTGTTAGCTATCTTGGTTTTGAATCAAATACTCTAGTTCCATATCGGCATTTTCTTAAGAAAAACATCAAACGATATTGAAGCATGATCAGCTATTCGACGTTCATTGTAAATTTAAGTTGATGTACGTGAAGTTCGAAGGGCTATGTGGTTGAGACCAAGTGTCATTTCATTTTTACTATAGATGTGTTCGAGAGGCTAAGGGCAACAGGATATTGATCGTGATCAACTGACACTTAAATATATTTTGGTAAACTACCTGATATTGTCTTGTGGAATTGTGGTAGATTTCGTTATTAGTACAGCTATAATACTAGACCCGACCCCAAAATTGTAGATAAGTCATGATGTGACTACCTAATCTGTAAGATCTTGCGTGGAAGTCACATAATTGTCTGGCCTTACTCGTCGTATCGTAACAATCAGCGATATAATGGTTAGTTTCTAAAGAATACCTTTAGGCTGATGACAGAACAATATACTTAATATGAATAAAAGTAATGTTACGCGAGGATGATCACGCCTCCAAGGCTGAGACATGCCATCATTCATGTTCAGCTTTGAGGATTGCGTGGTTAGGACCGATACCACTACAGTCTCACGGATCCAAATCTGGTTTTGCAAAATCGGGTGAGACAGTGCAGACCGTTGCTCTCGTTGCTCCGAGAATGACAGATTTTGTCCAGCGTCTCTAATTTTGGTGCGATAAGTGCTATATTACCACTGTTACTCCGAACACCCGGCAGTTGCTCCTTTCTACTTCACTTGATCAATGTGTGCTTTGCAGTCGGTAGTCTCACTTAGGTTATGGCTTCCGCGAGCACATTTCCGACTGGTCCTCTGCAAGCCATAATGGTCGGGATGTATGACCTAGCATTTAGTCTTCTCATGGCCTTAAATTTCACTTTCGCCTAACTGACCGATCGGTTATTCTCATACTCTGTCCATACTAGAATCACGAAGATGAAAGATTTAGCACAAACCAGCATTACTACACGAACACTGTGGCTTTTCGACGGCAGTGGACCCACCTCGCACGAAAATTGCATCGGAATACAGAATCATTGGTTTCTACTAATAAAAAAACAAGTGATAAGGTCATTTCTTTTGTATCCTTTTATAGCGGTAGTTGGTGTTCCTGTATACCTATTTTCTGGAAACTCCTTTAAACTTTCCCTTCTTTGCTTACACATATCACTAGCGACGTAAATCTGCACTACAGTGTGGTTTTCATTACTTAAAGGGGTCTTTGTTTTTGGCCAGTTGATTCCTGTGACAATTAATGTCCATCATTATGGAACGCCTCTAATCCAATTTTTTGGTCACCCTATGGGTAAACGTAGGACCTGAGGTAAGACTTTGGTGATTCTTTTCTCAATGGAATCAGTTAAGTCTTTGTTACTTTTTTCTAACTTGAATCTCGTATGTGTAATTTTACTCTGGGCATCCAAATCACCCAAAGCTATTTCGTGTAACATTCGCTAACTCTACAGACGTTATCCAACTATCTAGTCACTTACTGAAATCAGATGGGAAAGTAAGAATACTGCTTGACACACCGTATTCTGAGCTCAATATCGTCCGGAACATCCCTAAGGAATCTCGCGAGTTGTCCTGTGGAAGAAATGTCATTGTGCAAGGTGTGCCGGAAAACACGGACCCTGACAACACAAACTCTGATATTAGGGAATGGAAACTCACCAAGAACTCTTTAAAGCTCAAAAATATATTGACTCAACAAGTGATGAGACTTGCCAAGAAGGGTGAAGATTCTAAACCGCGGCTGATAAAGATAACCTTCCCATTCTCTCATATCGCGGATGCAACTCTGGAGGCATCCCGTGCCAGCAGACCTGGAATCCATATGTATCCGGATAGGCCACATGACGTCAGTATCAAGCACAAAGGGAGGTTGGAACTGACCATTCCACTTGTGGGCCGTCTTAATCATAAAAGAACGTGGGAAGGACAAGGGCTACCGACACTGAAAACTTTGTGTAGGTAGGCTACATGTTCACCCTGTTAGGTCCCAATCAGGACTCTAGACTTCTCGCACGTGTTTTATGCGTCGTTGGTCCGGTTGGTAATTCACTGTCCTCTAATTAGCGGTCTCGTTACGTCATACATTAACAGGGCACACAGGCCACAAGTTATAACACACCCACATACGACTCATAAAGACAAACAGGACGTGGAACGTCACGCGTTTCAAATTGTAAGCATAATCTGCTTCCACATGAACGCCGCGAGTTTATCGAAAAAAATGGATGAGCTACGTGAACACAGTAATGCTAACAATCATCATCTGATAGGAATATCTAAAACTTGGATATTTTCTCAGTTTACGAACCGGGAGCTAGCAATACTCGGGATGTATTTGTTTTGCAATGTCAGAAACATAGGAATTGAAGATGGAGTAGCCTTATACTTACTATCCTGCATGGAGGTACATCAAGTGCACAACCGAGAGTTTATCATTCTTGATGAATCCGTATGGTGCTCAGTAAGATTGCCTTCCACCTCGAGGTGCTAAGTTGGAGTCATCTACAGGAAGCCCATTGCTGACATCGAGTACGACACTCGTACGCTGGAAGGATTATAGCTCTCTATTCATCTAGGATTCACTCGTATCTCGATTCTAGGGAACTTCAATCTTCTTAAAGTCAATTTCACGGATCATACTTATATTGGAGGTGAAAACTCTACTGAAGCTCGGTTATTCAACCCCATTGAGAATCCGAATTATTCGAAAAGTCGACAACTTGTTAGACGAACAGTCAGACACCGTGTACGTACAAACGAAGAATCCCTAACTGATAACCTCTTAATCCTGGCTCCCTTAGGGAGATGCCATCACGCCGTCCTAGCCTTTAGTTTTACCAGGAAAACTGAGCTAAGACATCCCACTCTCCCACTCTTCGTTTGTTAATCCGCAAAAGACACTGTTGGGCAGAATACAAACGAACTGATAACAACGGTGCGTACAGGCAATACAAGCATATCAGGAACATATGCACGAAGGCAATAAGAAAGGACAGGCTTCAGTGCCATATAAAGCTTAACTCCAATCTGAAAAACTTATTCCGTTATGCAGCCTCATTTCAACAAGACAAAACTGGAGTTCCCCAACCGTTAGGTCCTGATGGGCCGATTAATGGTGACGGTGACGCCGCTAACCTTCTAGCTGAACAGTACTCTCGGACATTTCAACCAACCTACATTAACTACATTGATGAAAGCTACCGGAAACTGCAGCACCTATAAAAGGAAACTTCTCCTGGTCCAGGTATGGTTCATTCTGCTATACTGAGGGAAGCATCTTCAATCCTGGCAACATCGCTTAGCGTGATGTTCTCACATTCGCTAAGACGAGGCATATTACCGGAAATTCGGAAGATGGCCCTCATCACATCAATCTTCAAAGGACGTCGACGCAGCGAAACTTCAAGCTACCAACCGGCAGCTCTTCTCCGTATACCTTCGAAAATTATGGAGTCCCTGATGTGCGACGATATACACGACTATGTATTAAATTAAATTTCTTTTCACCCCAACGACGTGGTATCAGGAATGGTCTCTCTTGTATAATCAACCTGCTCACTTTGATGGACAGATGGACAACCATCCTTGATTGCAAGGGGAGGGTTGACGTCGTTTACCTTGACTTATCAAAAGCTTTTGATAGGGTCAACCATATATGTCTTATCAACAAGCTCAAACATTTGGGTGTCGAATCACCTTTAAATGGTTGGCTTTCCTCATATCTAAATATCGACATTTCAAGATCAGGGTTAACGTTACTTTAACTCAGGCTATGGAAGGTCCCAGTGGGGTCTCCCAGGGTTCAGTACTAGGACCTCTTTTCTTGATTCATATTAACGAACCTCCACACCAAGTATCATTAGATTTTTTACCTTTTGCTGATGATGCGATGTGAAAGATGAGCAACCAAGAGGACACACTGGCACTTCAGGACGATCTGAGTCGATTTCAAAGTTGGGCAGATGACAAGGGACTAAACTTTAGCACTTCAAAGTGTTAAGTAGCCCAACTGAGACATGTTGCAGACTACGGTTACAATTTAGGAAACTCCTCGCTAGAAGTATCCAAAGTTGAAAAAGATTTAGAAGTGCTGGTACCGTACGATTTGAAGTCGCGCTGTGACAAAAATGTCTTTCGAGCAAACCCTGCACTGGTAACATTGAAGAGCATTTTTGGCCAGTTTGACAGAAGAACTTTCCACATAATCTTCAACAGTGTTTTGTCCCAATTTAGAGTACGGAAACATGGTATTTCTTCCCTCACTCCAAAAGGATAAGGACACTCCGGAGCGTATCAAAAGGCGAGCCACGAAATCAGTTCGGGAACTCAAATTCAAGCCCTATGAAGAGCGCCTCCAATCACTAAACGTTTACCCATTAGAGCATAGGCGTCCTAGAGGTGACCTCCTAATGGCTTCCAGTATCCTTAACACCTCTGAACATCCCCTTAAACACCTACTTAAGTTTAGCTCCAACACAAACCTAAGGGGTGACACCCAGAAACTGGAGACATAACACAGCAGAACGGACTGTAGACACAACATCTACTCCTTAAGAGTTGTAAAATGCTGGAATTCGCTGCCGAATGAGCTAGTCCAAGCGACTTCCCAGGAGTCCTTTAAGAAGAAACTTGGCCTATTCTTAAGGACTAAGGATAGTATCTTACTATGATTTACCAATTTCTTTTTCTTCTTTTATCATTAATATACCTAGATTCCTGCATGAAGGTATTGGTGATCCATGGTTACAAGACACGGAAGCCCGTTAATCGAAAGCTTCTTCTATTCCGTTGACAACCATTTGAACCATTTGAACCTTGTCGTTTTAACTTTCTTTAAAGATGACCATGAACAATTCAAATAAACGGGGACACTAATGGGATTCACATCATTTTTGTTGTATGTCAACTAAATTGTTTATCTAGTGACCCTTTAAAAGTTTTCTTCTTATATATTCCCAATGCTTAGTTGTAAAACTTTCAGAAGGAGATGTCAATGAGTTGAATAATGTTGAAGCATTTGTTGGTGACCAGTAAGTAGGCTTTATAATATTTTCATATTTTGTTGATAGATCAAAATATCATGACATAAATGATAATGTAAAGTAGGTTTTATTTTTAATCTTGACTTTATGGGTGATTATAGTTTTGGTGACAAGGATGCTCAGTCTGTTCGGAATTCGGAGGTGAGTTCAGAGTAATACTTTATTCAAATGATTGGATGATGTAGTTGGTAGTTGGAAAAGCTCCAGAACATAGTATATGTTATCTTGGAGAGCACCAAATCATGTTTAGGTAACATGTCTTCAGAACATTTCATAAATTATAAGTTTGAGTATGCAGATATAGGGATGTGTTGTGGTTCTTTTGATACACGATCTTTCGACTCGGGATAAACAAACTAAAATCTATGATCGTTGTCATCTGTACACAATATGAGTCATATCTGGTGGAAACTCAATCAATCTGATTTAAGAAAAAGCTTGTGTAGGAATTAAAAACGGATTTTTCTTAACTTCTTTGTTAATATCACGATCATCATAATTAAAAAATTGACTGAATACCTTTATTTTGCTAACTCCGCATAGATAGATTTCCCAGGGTGATTTTTACCATATCTTACCTATTACTTGCAACTACTTTGATGCAATTAATTTTTTACTAATCTTTGGGTAATCGGTCTTACTCAGACACATAGCACTTCGGTAGACCAGGAGAATAATGTGATGCTCAGCCGCAAAGCTTCTCCTGAGTCACTGGATTCATCAGAGAATCAAGAATCTCCAGGGGCAGGTCACGCATCAAGTGAATCCATAATCCCTCCTGGGACAAATCAGGAATCAGTTGGACTTGACCACAAAGATGTTCAGGAGTCTATTCTAGAAGAACTGCCTTCATTGGATTCAGTTGCTGCAGAAGGTATTAACACACATGAAATCCCGACTTTCAATGAATTCCATGCAATGGTTTCAGAAAGGTCACACTCACGTAAAGGGCAAGGTTCGTGTGTTTCAGTTTTGTTTGTTAATTACCGAATTCTGATATCTGCCATATCTCGAGAGGCTGTATCCTTATTATTATATTAGTTGCATATTAGGTATGTTTTTGATAACTGGAAAACGAAATAGTGATCAAGCCGTGAGATACCTTCATGCCGTATGATTTTAATTCTAAACATTTTACACTTCTTGATCACTGGTTGGTAACTGAATAGTCATGAAATCGATCACTAGCAAGGAGGCAATCTATGGGAATCTCAGTGTTAAGGAGACTTGTCACAGTCTGGCCAGTTCAGTGGTAACGTCTTTGACATTAAGGTAGGTGCTACCTGTCCACCAACCCGGTTTAAGCGTTAGGGATTCGCTTTTCGTCCTCTCAATTTCGTAAGCACTCATCATAATAAGGCAATGAGTAGGACTTCTGTTACGGTGGCTGTATACGCGTGGCCATGTGAAAGCATTTGAAGGAGAACGGACTCTCTTCACATAATCGTATCAGGGCATTTGGCAGCCGACATAAGTTAATTGAGTCATTGATATGTGATAAGAATTAAGTTCGGTAGTTTAAATTTAATTTATCATACTAGTGACCTACAAAGTCCATATATTCCAGTCACTTGTATTTCAAATGAGTTCTAATCGTGTGTTTTGGAGAATAATATATTGTATGTAAGCATATTCTTTCGCTATTGAAAGAAACCCGTAATGCTACCAGCTGTCTTGTTTTCTGATATCTGTTCATTTGTAGGCTCGCGTTAGTAATTTAGTTTCATGAGACATTATTATTTAGCCACATTGTCGTTAAATGTCAGTTGAGATTCTATTCATCGATTCATACAATCTCCAGTCTAATAGTTTTCCAGTTTGTTGAAAGTAATAGTAAAAGTGTAAGTGCCATAGGAACTACCTTAGAAACAATAATTATGAAAATGGTCGGCTTTATATAATAATGTCAGTAGCTTGTTGGTTAAAGTACCTGATTTCCAGCTATTGGGTTGCAGTTTCAAACTTTTCTGTATCTAATTTTTGAACGGTTAGATAGTATAGATGCTCACATAAATAGTCTGGCTGCAGGCGTTTGGTGAGTGAGCCACATTCATTATTTACATATTTTTGAGGCTAATATCAACAGTAGTTAGGGTGAAATAGTACTAAAACTACCTATATGCGATTCCGATCATTTATTTGTTAAGAAGTACCTTTACTTATGCTTTTTTCCTGATAATTTTTTCGATTTAGATTGTGACGTTGTCGGAAATGCTGGTGTGACCGATTCTGACTATGATGTCAATATTAAACAAAAAATTAAGGCTTCACAAATTCCTCAGGGATCCGAAAAAATACTGCAAACACATAATGATGTTAATCCATCGGTTAAATCTTCGAAAAATCAAATAATTCAAGATGTATCAGAAAAGAGTGTTTTCACAGATGATAGTTCGTTTTCCGATAATATCCAAAAAGATTCTGTTAGTGAACAGCATCAGTCTTTGCAAGTGAATTCTGTTGTGACGTCTAATTCAGAAACGAATTCCAAACCAAGTTCTCATGTTACTTCACAACCTGTAATTACCACCACCACAACCACCACCGCAGCAACAACAATAACTAACAATGATGCTGTTCATACACCGAGCAAAATTGACTTAACTCTTCGGAGAAATGTCGCTTCTGTAGCATGTGGTGCAAAGATGTTAGGATTCAGTAGAGCGATAAAAAACCCTGAGGCTGTACTCAATGAAAACAATGATGAATATATGAATGTTCCGTGTAGCGAAGAAAAATGGTAATATATTAAATATGTATATATACGTGTATACTATAATTTGTGAAGTCTCTTCATGTATCCGTTTTGAATTATTGTTGAGCATACCAGGCATCGCTTTTGTGATTTTCGTTAAATTATTTATTGTTATTTTTTCATAGAATAGCAGTTTTGGTTCATAAAATTGTAGCATGTCAGAGTTTTTTGAATGACGTTTCACAAAGTAAATGATATTGGATTCTTCAAATGTATAACACTTGAAATTTGTAAATAGAAGTAAAGCAATAGCGACTTATTGGGTAGTGGCCCACTTCCAACCAGTAGACCACTGGCTGGTTCACTTACTTAGGTTTGGAGAGTGTGTATCGTCACTAGCTGATATTTGAAGCCGATTAGATAATGGTCAAATAATAAGCCCATGCGGCCCCCTAATGCTCTGGTACGGCCAAGAATGGGGAGAGCCCGCTCTCCCTCTCGAAATGCTCTCACATGACCACGTGCATACAGCCACTGCTAGGGAAGTCCTACTCACTGCCTTCTCGTGGCATTACTGTTGTTTACGAAATTGAGAGGACGAAAAGCGGACGTCCGGCACTTTAACCGGATTGGTGGACATGGAGGGTCCACGTAGGGGAGTTGAAAAACCCTGATTCCAAACCAATGGTGCACATGGTCTCCAGTACCCTGAATGAATAAATAGCGTATGAACTAATCGTTGGTCACCGGTTACCATGGGACTGCATCTCCTTACGCTGCTCCACTGCTTTGTGGATCAGACCTTCAGGTCGAAAGCTCTAGGTGTGGCTTCCTAAGAAAATCACCTGCTTCGGTTTGGGCATCCGGGCGGTATCACAACCCTCACATAAGTCAAGTGAGATCTGCGTGGCGCATATTTATCTGGTGCCTCCTTGTCCCAATATCTATGTGTTAAAATAAATAAAGTCCATGCGAAGTGCCATGGCGTGGTGTCCTTTTTTATGGAATGAGATACTCCATCGACGAAAAAATGTGGCTTAAATTTCTAAGAGATATATATATAGATATATTTATATATATGGATATGTGAGTATGCAGTTACTTCTCGGTTCAGTTGGCCAATAAAATACTTTTTCTTAACTTTTATTCTTCCCAATTAAGTAGCCGGTTGGGCTCGCGAATAGGAAGCTCGTTTATCAGTATCCTAATTAGACACCACTCAAGATTATGCTAACATTTTTATAAAATGTTACTAAAAGCTAGATACATAGGTCTGGATTTGATTGATTGGTTGATTGTCTGATCGGAATCTGTCATCTGTTTCGTTAATCGACTAATATTAGAATCTTCTAGGAGCATTAGTAACTCCAATGCTACAAATAAGTCTTACCTGTGAATAAAAGTAGCCTTGGAAGCTTGGTCTAAATATACTGTCGATCGGTAGAATTCAATTACTATCACAGATTAAACGATACAGAATTAGCCATTAACTATTGATTGATGTAAATGTAGGATTTTTGAAATATAAAGTAGGCTATCCAGAAAATCTATTGTTGATGGCTAAGCAATTCAATTAGCCGCTCACTCTACAAAGGCTTTCTATATAACTTAAAAGAATGATGCCATTTATCAGTTCAAATGCACCTTATTAAACGTTTATTCGAGGTGTTGTCAGGACGTATGCACGAGATAGCTCAATTCAATGTCTACATATTTTAAGGTATTAGTTGATGTTTTGCCTGTTTTGAAATAATAATAAGGTATATTACAATTTATAATTTTAATAGGTTAATTCTAGAAGTATGCCAACCAGTTCATCTACGGACTATAGAGCTGGCAAATTTTGAACTATTCTCATCACGGTTGAAATCGTTTCGAGTTTATGCTAACGATCGGTAAGGTATTTTTTAGAAATTCAACTATTAATATGTATAATTTGTTAGTTTTTGTTTACTAGAATTAATAGGAATTACTTTTATAGATAATGAATAGTGCAAACCAGTATCGGTCATGTAAATGATTGATTAGAATTATTATTTATGATACTGGATGGTTCTATTGTGAGTCTTTCATTGTTTTTCAATGTAACATCAGCTGATACTTTGGAAAAAGCATGTGCTAATTATATGAGACAGGTGTCGCTGATAATGGGATTTCATCTTAGCCTTTCTACGAAATAAAATCTCTGTTGTTTTAAAACTAATAGGAATTCTCTTTCAAAACAATTGTAGATATCCAGCAAAGTCCTGGGAATTGATTGGTACATTCACCGCTCGAGATGTTAAGGGAATACAGTCTTTCAGTGTTTATAGTGGAAAAATGATCAAATATGTTAAAGTAAGTTAATTGTATTTGAATTATAGTCGTTAGTCGTCCAGTTGAAAAGAGATACTATTTATAGTTATATTTGACTAGATTTTCGTTTAAAGATTAAGAACAATAAATACATTTTCACGTCGTTAGGTTCTCATTCATTTTTGCTTACAATTCGTAATGTTTCAAAGTCGAAATAGAGTTTAAAATACTTACAGAGATAAATTTTTGTTCGAAGTTAATGGAAACTCATACCAGCTTGCTGTAGTGTGATTTCCCTACCTTTTGCTTCATATATTTACTAAGATAAGTTGTGGTGTATACAGTTCGACGATAGTTCGAATGAAAAGATTAAGAGAGATTTCATCCATTCAAGAAGGTTGGTCCTAATTTTGTGAAAAAGTATATGATCTTCATTGGCTTTTATTCTAAGTAATGTTGGATAAAGTATCGAGACACTAAGTTGCGTAGACTTTGGGATTTCATCTAGGGAGTTATATTGGACTAGCAAGTGTGCAAAATTCTTCAGAGATACTAATGATTAAACATAGGGTTACCAAAAATTGTTATTGTGAAGGGATTAGGTTTAACAAGCATATAACAAGATTGCTCTGAGTGCATAGGTCTCTACAGATTTCACTGCACATAGATTAATCTCGTTTGCCAACACCAGGACCCAAACGGGTTCTCACATGCATAAACCCTCCAACTATTTTCAAGACGAACCAATAAACATTTAACATAGATGAACCAGCTCTTCTTCATCCTTATAAAATTGATTTGAATTTCTATGGCTTCAAAGTGCACATGGCTTACTTACAAACAATAAATTGTCGTTAAGCAATGGAATTAGATGATAATCACCACTATCTTTTCAGCTGACTGAATTTGAAAAAAGTACGAACCATTAAGTTTTTTTATGGCACTAATAGTTATAAAGGGTTATGTTTCTCACCTGATAACAGCTTCGACCACATATATATATATATATATATATATATATATATATATATAGTGTTTATCACGTGATTTTGCTTATGAATAATGATGTATCCTCTTGAGAAAAAAACAATAGTGATGGCTTATACAGATTATGCACTATGTATGTCATGAACACAATATTAGCGATGAAAGTGAGGACAGATGTTGAAACTTATGTTTACAGAACAAACAATAAAGTTTATCGTTTTTATTGAAATAGAATTGAATACGAATTTGAGGCTTTTTTCTATGGAAGGAACTAAATATAGGACGAAATGGTCAACATCTTTTTTTAAAGCTTTATCTAATCTACAGTCCAGCTGAATGTATTGTGTAAAGTATCTTAACATAGTGGTCTAGCTTCAATCGACTCATGATTTCAATCAATGAAATTTCTAAAATCTCCACAAACCCCTTCTGATAATAGTTTATTAGCTAAATCACATGGCCTTCAAGTTGGAACTCCACTTCAATTACGTCAGTGGAACGGTGATTCAGTGGCTAAAGCGTCTAGTTTTCAGCCACTAGGTATCAAGTTCGAACCCCGCTCCACCCACTTCAGTTTGATCAACTAGATAATATCACTAACCCTCGCATTTCGAGTTTGGCTTAAAACTAAATACAGTAGTCTGCACCAAGTTATCGATTTACTAATTAGACTTCTTTTTAAACTGCTGGATATGACTACCCCTTCCGTGGTTGCATATGGTTGAAAGCCTAGTACATAAAGCTATAATTTGTGAGTTACACGATTGTTATGTTGAGTTTCAAGCCCGCATAGTAGTTTTTTGTGATAAGGTATTGTATTGAGAAATACTACGTCTTCCTATTGGTCCAAAATGTTTACCTCTTTTTCTGATACAGTTCGAATTGATTGAACATTATGGTTCAGAACATTATTGTCCCTTAACTATGATTAGAATATTCGGTTTGGGTTCCGATGATCTAGATGATGATGACGATGTTGATGATGTTGATGTTAGATTAATGAATGTGCCAGAATCTACTTCAAATCATGGTTCAATGATTACTCCGACTAAGGATAAAAATCAACATTCGGAAAACCAAGAAGATGATATTATTGCTAAAGATGACAACGCAAGTATGTAGTTTGACATTATTGCTTTTTTAATTAATAATACCTGTTCATTTTCACATATGCAGCAGTTATTCCAGTTAATTCTAAGTATACTATCGAACCAGTTAGGATTGCGAGTGAATTTAATATCGTGGCACTCATATCAACCTAGGGTGACATTTATCAAGCCAGGATTTTGATCGTTGGTCGTACAATGACCAATTTCGTACAATAAAACATCAGTTACTTACAAAACGTTTGGTTACGAAAGTGGTACACTCATATGTGAATAAGAGAGGAAAATGACGATGTATAATTGCACAGAGACACGAGATGGAAGGATATTTCGCTGTTATGTTTGTCAGGGTTAATATTAATTTTAGAATTAGGATTTAGGCTTAGAATTGTAGTTATTTTGTGTTTAGGATTAGGGATTAGCATGTATATGAACTAAATGTCAATCCTAACCTTTGACCATAGTTATTCCTCAATATTATGTAATATGACTGTCATTGATTGCCCAACACTATACTCTAAAAATTATATCTTAAAAACCATATCATTTACAAAAAGAGCTGTTCATTTGTACTGATACTTAATTTAAAACAAATGTTAGTCTGTTGTGTGCCCGTACACTGATAAGTCAATAAATGTTGAGTCTTTCATGAAGTATTCATAAATCATCTAAACTAAATAAGTTGTCTGTTAAAAGAATGTGCTTATATACTGTTAACAGAGATTGATTAAACTCACTTTAGAATAACGGGAATACGAAAAATACGTACACACATACAAACTTATAATAAATAATCATTGGAAAATGTTCATTATTATTTATTCTATTTTTTTATTCTCTTTCTCCTGTTTTATATACACAGCAAATGAGCCTAAAGATGATCAAACTTCATTGAACACTAGTAGTAGTAATGATGGTATGTATGATACTATAGAGATAACGGAAGTCAACAATCACCACATAGTCAATGTCAGTACATATGATCCCGAACTAAAACCAACTAATTTAGATCTGACCAGTGAAGATTATCCTTACAATCAGAATGACGATCATGATCATGAAGACGTTGTTAACAAGTTGTCTAATACTGGTTCTACTAACAGTGATTCATCTGTGTATTCCTCGACTGTATCCCACACGGATGATACCACATCTGATCATCATCATCATCATAAATTATCGAGGGATCGAAGTAAGAAACATTCGGGACGAACAACCACTGCAAAAAATATCGGAAATCACAATGATAATTATAAAAACAAATTTTGTGGGAAAATAGATCCTATCAAGGTACTTCATAAGCCATTTTGTCCAGGTGAGTGTTGTCGGTCTTTGTTTTCTAGGACAATAACAATAATGGTTGTGTATTTTTCCTCTAAAGAAGCGTCTTGTGTTGAGTTGCAAAACATTAGAGTCGGGTGAAATGGTACAGATGCATTAAGTCTCTGTTTTTCGTTAGATCTTCAGATTTAAAAATGTCTGATACCTTTTTGTTTTACGACTCTATTCTTCTTGAATCATGTTGTTTATGTTTAGTTTTTTTCTACCATCATTGGTTATGTTAATACCTTTAATACTTTCTCGTATTTGTCTTGATAATGTCATTTTTTTGTGTTGGTATGGTGACTTGGACCGATATGGATTTGTGCTAGGTTCTATAATGTTTCTGGTTGATTGGCTGTCTAAGAGATAATTTTCTGTTATTTATTTTATTTAAAGACAAAATTTGTTACAAGAAGACACCAAATATATATACGCCACACGTCATTAAATTTGTATGGGCTGCAATACTGCCCGGACGCCCAAACATCCCACACGATATTAGTAGTATAGTTTATTTTTATGTATCATTTCATCTTAAATTAAGCTGAAGCAAAATATCATTGTCATGAATTATATTGTATGTACAAAAAAGGTTAATTTGTGTACTGCTTCTATTTCGTCCTGTTATTAACAAACTGATAATGATAAAGATAATTCTATTCTGTATTGGTGAAAGGGTTGTAATATTTGAAAATTGAGTCAAATAATACATTCTAGGTTCAGTCTGGCTTATTTGTTAAGCTTAAATCAGCCCATTCGTTTCTTCAGCAGTAATACGATAGTTATCGTCTGATATTCCAAGTTTGTCGCTTACAATACTAGACTATATTTCGTAATCATATCTTCTACTTTTGCCAGGAAAACACAGACAACATTTTTAGCTTTTATATGAGAGTGAGATGGTTTATTCTGTTTAAATATTCTCTGTAGACTTTCGCAGCATTCCTCAATACTACTCTTACTCATTTTTGCTAAAGTTTCTCAATATCGTGTCATGCAGCGTTGTTTCATGGAATAGTTTACTTGTAAACAACATGTAGATGATGTTAAAATACCGTATCGTTAAGCATAGAATCACAAGTGTACAAGATCAGTGGTTATTCGCACAGGAATGTTGAAGGTCTCATCTTTATAGTGTTACTCTGCAGTGCACGAGTAGCGAGTTTAAACGAAGTTTTCATGTTATACTCGAGAAAATGAAGTGTATTATTGCATCGTAATATCTCATAAATTTATTAAGTGTTTAAACCACAATAGTATGTGTTTGTGACGAATGATAATATTATTACGTTGTAAAGATCTTACTTACTTACTTACTTACGCCTGTTACTCCTCGTGGAGGAGTATAGGCCGCCCACCAGCACTCTCCATCCAATCCTGTCCTGGGCAATTCTTTCCAGCTCTTTCCAGTTGTTATTCATCCTTTTCATATCTGCTTCTGTTTCACGACGTAATGTGTTCTTTGACCTTCCTCTTTTCCTCTTCCCTTCGGGATTCCATGGTAGAGCTTGTCTCGTGATGCAGTTTGATGATTTGCGTAATGCATGTCTTATCCATTTCCATCGTCTTTCCCTAATTTCCTGTTCATCTGGAAGCTGGTTTGTTCTCTCCTACAGAAGGCTGCTGCTGATGGTATCCGGCCAATGGATTTTGAGTATATGTTGCGTAGACAATTATTTATAAATACTTGTACCTTCTTGATGATGGTTGTGGAAGTTCTTCAAGTTTCAGCTCCATATTGTAAAACTGTCTTGACGTTCGTATTGAAGATTGTGACTTTGATATTGGTTGAAAGTTGTTTTGAGTTCCATATTTTCTTAAATTGTAGGAATGCGGTCATTGCTTTGCCAACATATATTAGTTGAACGAATTTCTTAAAGAGAGAAAAATCAAAGATGGGTGCAGAATAATACCAATGAAAAATTGTTTGTTTCGGATCAATAAATAAAGTTTGAAGGGGAAAATTCCACAGCACTGAACTGGTGATTGAAACTCATACAGTCAACAAACATTTGATGTTTATGTAACGAAGTAACTGAACACAGATTAGTGGTAATAAAGATATAAATTGAAATCAGTCAGTTATAAATTAAAGAAAAATGACAATGATATAATCAGACTTCAGAAAGGGTTGATATAATGAACGAATTTCAGTCTCATGACTCAATGTTTCAAAGTGGTAAATCTCTAAACAATTGGTTACGTCTCATTGTAGGGACCGTAATATTCAATTTTCAACGTTAGCTGTTTAATTTTCTTTATATGCTTCTCACACCTTTAGTGTATGACTGACTGATATATTGTTATCGTATTCAACAGAATTGTCTGTACATGGGATGAAGATTTCTTGTGGGGAATGTTGTTTAAGAAAGTGAGGATGAAAAGAGGAAGTTCGGTGCTTAGACTGGATTAGTGGATACAGAATGTAAGAATCCTGATTCTAAACCAGTTTCGTACATGGGCTCAATGATGCCTAGGGAACAAATGGTGTGAACCTGCTTTTGGTCACCGGCTACTACGGGGCAGCATCTCCAAACGTTACACTACCTTGTGGAATAGACCTGATTACTGGACAATGGATAGTGATCGTCTAAAAATAACACCCGCTCCGGTTTCGGTTCTCTGGCAATACCCTAGCCCACGTGGAAATTCTATTTTGTGTAGCCTATTCTGATTTTGGTGCTCATTTGTGCCAGATTTTTTGGGAGCTAAGTAGATGTATATTAAAAGAACATTTAAAGGCATCAGAACTAATGTCAACACATCATTAAGTCACTGACTGATTAATTTATTCAGGTCTGGAGACGCAAAGTTCCTAATCTGGTTAGAAATCCTGGATAATACAACCCAAAGCTGTGTTGCTTAGCATAAATGTGATTATAAATAGTGGTTTGTATACAAGATGTTATTCTATAGTCATTGGCACTCTTTCTTAATGAAATTTTATTTATTTGACATATAAACATTGATACGATGGGGTACCGAAATTTGTTAACACTGCACAATTTTTATGTGTGGGCTGGGATACTTCCCGGGTGCTCAAACCGAAGGTGATTTTTTTAGAGTACCACTCCTCGAGCCTTTGACCCAAAGGTCCGATCCACAGGGTAGTAGAGTAACGTTCGGTGATAAGGTCTCATGATAGCCAGTCACCAAAAATGGGTTCATACCCCATTTGTTTACCAAGGATTTGCGAGCCTATTTACACATTGATTTGGAATCAAGGTTATCCAACTCTCCTAGGTGGATGCTCTGTATTCACCAAACCGGTTTAAGCACCCGACATTTGTTTTTCATCCTCTCAATTTCGTAAACAACAGTAATGCCACGAGAAGGCAGCGAGTACAACTTCCCTGAAATTAATTAATTTGAATTCTTTAGAATAATATAGTTTTGTTTATATTTTTTAGCTGGATCAATAATGTATCGTTCTATAAATCATATCAATGATCATTCTATAACAACTAATTGTCATACTTCTAAGGTTGCAAACAGCGATTCACCAACTCCACATAAATCTGATTTTTATCCAACTGTAAATATTCGTGCTAAAACATCAGCTACAATGAAATTATCACCGTCTATTGTTAAAATGAAACAAAATAATAAATCATTACAAAATATGAATACAATTAATCTAACATCACAATTACATAATAAACTATTTAATCAAGCTTTTAATCAAATGAACTTTTTTACTCGTTTGACAAGTAAGTAAAACTGACAAAAAAAATGATTAGATAACTTCGTTTATTTGATGAACTCTATTTGTTATAACTTATGGTAACTGCATATTATCATGTGATGAAGCCATTAATCAGAATCCCTATTTCTATGATTTATTATCCCTGATTTGACCAATTACATGTCCAACTAGTACCAGTAACCTTGATTCAATTGATAATTCCTTATTGGTTCATGACCTTGCAACTTCTCTCTCTGCTCTGCTCCTTAAGTCCAGAAGTCAGTAATCAACCTTCACTATACGAATATTATATTTCAACCATATGTAGTTTATGTATAGATATATGCGACCACATCACATTATAAAGTGAAAAGCAACAATAATACTATGATCAAGTCAAAATGTGATTGTGAGTAGGGTAGACTGTAAGTAACAAAATGTCAACAGATTAAGGATAGTAAGTCGTATAACAGTAGTTAATAGGTCAAACGAAGACCTATTACTAAAGGTATATATATATATATATATATCAAACCCATGATTTTCGGTCCATGCATGAATGCTTAACCTCTAGACCAATGAGTCGGGATCCAATGGTGGTAGTGTCCAGTGCTTCCAGGTTCTCAGTGGTGACCTCATAGTTGGCTGTGCAAGTATAAGGCTTTAAATAGTTGTACATTTGGTTGCTAAGTCACTTTTTAAAAATCTAATCAGGGGTTTGTTTTTATTTCACTCAGCTTATTACTTGATATCAGTTTGTTCCTGTTTTACTTATGGCCACGCTTATGTTTTCCGTCAATTCTTGTACCTCTAACCTTTTTGTCGATAAGAAATTTGATAACTTGAATATTTTAAAGTGAGTAACAACGAAGATTGGTGCAGACTAATATGAATTCATTTTGTTTCGTCAGGTTCTCATCAGTTGCATACATTCTATAATATTTTCAAGTCAACGTTATTACAGATAATGACATACTGATACATAAGAGGGTGATTAAATATAAATATATGTATCATGATGTAGCTAAGATTTCAAGGGTCATAACAATTTTGTTTCGAATAAATAAAGTTTGGGAGGGAAAGTTCCATAATATTGAAATAGTTATTAGAAGTCATGGAGTTGACAAACATTGAATGATTATGTAATTAAGCAACTGAAAATAGATTCATGATAATGAAGAAAGATATGAATTGAAATCAGTCAGTTATGAATTAGAGAAAATGACAATGATGTAATTTAAACTTCAGAAAGAGTTAAAATAATGGATGACGTAACAAATAAAAAGGGGGGTTAATATTATCAGGATAAAGAAAGATTTATTACTGTCGTTTGATTGCTATTGCTTCGACAAATTTCAAAAAGGTTGGAGTTTGATTGTTTGTTAATCACATTGAAGGACTTCAGCGTATCGACTTCATGCCCTGTGTCAAGGAGATGTCTTGCGATGGCACTGCTGAATGCTTTTAGTCCATTTGATCTTAAACTTTTCGCAATATGCTATTTGAGTCGAATGTAGGCTCTCCTTTTTGTTCTCTACCATTGTAACTGCTTTAGCAGATACATGTAAATTTGTATACACAGTTGGTGATAACATGAAAGGATACCAATCGAATTTAGATTGTGTTAAAGAACATGTTGTTTTGAACAGGGCAATTAGTTTAGCTACAGGATAATTTCTTATCAATGTAGTTTTTAGTCTCATATTAATTGACCCTGTGATATCATTACCTTTGAATTGAAGTTGAATAAAAATAGGCTTTGGTTGAATATTGGTTCAACATTTTCATAAAAGGTCTGTAATGATATGTTTATCCTTAAATTAGTTCTTATTTATTATATATTTTTCAACCGAATTCTTCTTTTAAGTAAATCTGCTTTACAATTTATGAGAGTAATTGTATAGTTTTAATAGTGATCTGTTTTTCTTCATTTTAGATGCTATAAAACGTACTGTATTCGGTATATTTTTACAGTTTTTCCCATCAGCTCAAGGTAAATAATTTCAATAAATGTGATTAGTTGGTGTTTTGTAAGTTTTTTTTATTGGTTGAGATCATGAACCGATTGGTGTTAGACCACAATTGAAAACCTGGAAGCATTGGACGGGCGTTTCATCCTATTGTGGGTCTCCTCAGCAGTGCGTATCCACGATCCCGCTCACTACTTATTAGCTTCGTGAGGGAATTTTCGGAGTTCTAGTGAGAAGCTGTGACCAGTGGAGCTAATCCGTGTCGGGCAGAGAAAAGTATCTACCTCAGTACAATAGAAGATGGTCGCGCAATCTCGTGGATTGGTTGAGGTTAGACATTAACACCATTGGATACCGGCTCAGTGATCTAGTAGGTTAAGCGTTCGCGCGCGAGATTGAAGGCCATGGGCTCGAATTCCGCTGGCGGGATCGTGGATGCACACTGCTGAGTCGTCCGGTAATAGGACGAAATTGCCGTTCAGTGCTTCCAGGTTTCATTGGTGGTCTAACATCAATCGGTTCATGATTTCAATCAATAACTTAACAATCTCCACAACCCTATACTGATGTTTTCTTTAGACAAAACACGTTTATTTATTTGAAATATAGTTGGTATTTTAAATATGAGTGAACTAGGTATTTTTACATAAGCGGAATAATACTTCTTACCTTATACAGTTTGAGTTATGTACAAAAGTGATCAGAGTAACTCATTCATTAGAAAGAACATTTGTTTACTTCTGTCTGGAAAGTATCCGATCATCTGTTCATCTGTGGGTGTATAAGGGATTCTAGCTCAGATTTGTTTCAGTTATTTCGGCAATTATTTATATGCAGGTTGGGAAACTGCTTAGATACACAGACCAAAGCAAATGGTTTCCTTAGAGGAACATTACTCACCATTCGACCTCAAGGTCTAATCTGTTGGGCGATGGAACGACATCAGGAAGTGCAATGTCGTGGTATTCAGTGACCAAAGTAGGTTAGTAAGCTATTCTTTGAGCTTGAGTCCTCTAGCCCATGTACAGGCTTGAATCAAGACTTCCCTACTTCTCTTGGTGGACCTTCTGTATCCATCAAGGTAGTTTAAGGTTCAGAATTTCTCTTTCCATCCTCTCAACCTCATAAAATCTATCCTTGCCACTTTAAGTTGGTGATTAGGAATTCCATAGCAGGGACGCGTGATCATATGAGACTATTTCGAGTAAAATGGTACTTTCAAGTATACCGGGGTATTCAATGTGGCTATGACACTTATAATTGCCTAATTTTTGTATAAAGACTACAATAACTACATCGGTGCTCAATTATTATAGTGTATTATGGTCTCCTACAATCCTTCAGTTAATAAATTTGTAAACAAACAGAGTTTTCTGTTGACCACCGCCAGTCATCTTACATTGAGTATAAGTTTATTCACGTACCTGTAATTCGAAATGCTTATATAATTTATGGATTTCCAAACCAAAGTGTACGTGTTATGGAGTTTTTAAACATTTCACCTAATTTTTGAAAACCAAACCCCGACCGTTGCTGCTACCTTGACGTGTTGGTCAGGTTTACCTATCGTAATGAACCAGTCGAGCTATACTGGCTGGAACAATCGTTCCTCAAGGTCCTACCATGCCAAGCAGGTCGGTTGAAGAACGTTGAGACTAAAAGCAGCAAACCCAAGGTCCGAAGGCGCAGTCGTACTGCTGACTGTACAGAGGTGTGATGGCAGTAGGTTGTTTCCTTCAGGCAACCAGTCGACCCTAAAAATGCACATCTCACCTTATCCTACGGTTATCCGTCTCCGGCAGTAAGGTCTCAACAAGTGTGGAGCTAACACAAACATTTCTAACAAAAAGGTCGTGTGTGACCGACCCTTGGCAGTTGTTCGTTGGGCACTGCGGTCACACTCTCAGGTCACTAAGACCACCTTTAATCCAATTTCGTTTTCAGATACCTCCAAAATAACTGTTCCATAGTGTGGGCAACCTGGAAGTGATAACTGCCCTCATACCTCTAACAGCATTTTAAATTACTGACTTGATGAAAGCCAAATGCTTTGACTACTAAGTCATCAATGTATGTAATTTTGATCATTAGTCTAAATAAAATGTTGGGGATTATTTTTTCCTCATCATGCGTAACATATTGATAGCAATAATAAAAATGGTAATAATTCATTCTTATAATTGTTAAATACCACACTTTCTTAGGTATAATGTAAAATCAAATTTCTATTTTGAGGTCTAAATTAAACATGTGATTATTGTAGTGTGTCTGTATGTGCACTGTATACTTATAGTGTAATGTAATTGAATTAAGAACTACTATAAATAAACAATAATAGACATTTTTAAAAATCTACTTTAAGTCCAATGTTATAATGGGTGTATACATTAATCATTTCTTTTCTAATTGTCTTTTTCATTTTGTTATTTTCCATTAATAAACTTCTCATTGAAATTTCTTTGTTCCTAATTAATTGTTTATATAGGGTGTTATAGTGTTGCATGTAGTACTATTGTCTGTTATTGATTGATCCATTTCACACCTTCATTTATAATAATAATAACAATAATTTTCTTTTGGATCAGATGAGATTAATCTTTTAGTGCTAGATCATTGATAAGTAGTAAAATGATTTCAATTTACAATCGATTTTTAAACAACACTAGAACAAAAAAGTCAACTCATTTAGAAATGTATACTAACATAAACAATGTATAAGAGAACATGAGAGAACAGATTAGTAAAGTCCTACGAGCGGGGTCCTGGATGCATACTGCTGAGGGGTCCTACAATAGGACGAAACCGTTTTCCAGTGCTTGGAAATATTTAATGGTGGTCTAACATCAATCGGTTCATGATCTCAATCAAAGCCCCCAAATGCCCTGGTACGGCCGAGAGTGGGGAGAATCCGCTCTCTCTCTCTCTCGAAATGCTCTCACATAGCCACGCGTATATAGTCTCTGCCAGGGAAGTCCTACTCACTGCCTTCTCGTGGCAAGGGTGTTGTTCACGAAATTGAGAGGACGAAAAGCGAATGTCCGGCACTTTAATCGGATTGGTGGACATGGAGGGTCCACCTAGGGGAGTTGGAAAACCCTGATTCCAAACCAATGGTGCACGTGGTCTCCAGTATCCCGAATGAATAAGTGGCGTATGAACCGATCGTTGGTCACCGGCTACCATGGGACTGCATCTTCTTACGATGCTCCACTGCTTTGTGGATCAGCCCTTCATGTCGAAGGCTCTAGGAGTGGCTTCCTAAGAAAACCACCTGCTTCGGTTTGGGCATCCGGGCAGTATCACAGCCCTCACACATATCAAATGAGATTTGTGTGGCGCATATGTATTTGGTGCCTCCTTGTCCCAATATCTATGTGTTAAAATAAAAAAAAGTCAATCAAAAGATTAGTAAAGGGATTGTTTTTGAACCTTGAAGGTATATTATGGTGGTACGCACTACAGAGTGTAATCCCTATGACTACTCACTGTAAAGCTTTTTTCAACATATTCCCCTTCATTTTAGCTAACATCATCATACATTTGTGTGGAAGTTTGTAACACATTTTTCACTCCTTGATAAAGTGGCTTAACTGTTTCTTTCCTCTGAATATTATACTTTCCTAATCTTAACATAGGTTACTCTAGTTAGTTTCATTGATAATGGTAAGCAGTAAGTGGAAGACATCAATAATATAACTTTTACAACTTGTGATAAAATAAATATCGGTAATTAGTCAAAATGTGTAATCTGTGACTTGTTTGGCTTCAAAGACCATATATTCTTTTTTAATCATAACTTCTCATTATGAATGGCTTTCTATGTTTAATAATTCTTCAACTTACATCAGTTCGTCATGAATCTAATCTCTTCGTTAATTACTTGTGCTTATTTGTAAACTTTTTTCTATTTTCACTCTTCTACTTTTATTTCGTTGAACTCTAAATAACCAATAGAATAGTGTTGTGGTTTATAAAGGTGATTAAATCTCGTACCTTGGAATCAGTGGGTCGAAGATTGAAGCCACCTACTCCGCCTACTTCGGTTTAATCACCTAGCTCGTATAATTAGGTCTCATTAAGAATATGGCTAAATGTCGTGTGCCTAAACCTCTACTCAGTAAACTATTAATGTAGAAATAACCATCTGTTTAGTGTTTTGAAGGTGAATAAAAGAGCATGAATCTTATTCATGTGTAAATCGATTATTACCTGATTTCATTTTGTGTTTTATCATTCCTCTTTATGGTGCATGAAAATGTATTTATTCCATAGAACTTTAAATGAAATCTGTTGTGCATATGTTTGCGAGAATTATAAAATGGCATAGTTCACTTGGAAAAAATAGTCTCAGACTCTGTGTAAATAAGTCAACAGTTTTGTTTAAGCCCTTGCTCTCATAGACAATAGATTTAATTAGTTGAAAAGTTTCAATAATTTATCATTGATTTAATAATAAATGAAAATCTATTTTAATATACTATCGTTGATAACACAGATCCACATATACTTAGCTGTTCACTTGATAGATGGATGAAGTTTGATAATTCTTTTTCTGGCAATCAAGCTGAAAACAGTTTCTGTTTGTTCATTAATCTATGTCAAACTTTCAACTATTATTTTACAAGCTCAAATTTGATTCGAATGATTGAGAATTTTATTACTAGCTTCAAAAATGGTCTTGATACCATTTAAAGTGTAAACTTGGTATATTTGATCTATGGTTAACAATAGAATTTAGGATGGTACTTTTCAGGTGGATACATTTGCATTCCAACTCTGATGTTCATGGGTGTTGAGTCCAGAGTTGATGTTCACTCCGGTACTCGAACCCAATACAGTTCGTTTCAAATGTCATTGTGTACTCCACTTAACCACTGAGTCCTAATAATCACCTGCTTGTTAAATGAGGTAAAGTTTAAATTCACTTGGTATTGTTTTACTTATATCTTCCTATTGTTATTTAAGATTGTAATTGATCAGTCTCATTGTTTATTTCTTTAGATACTACCAATCTGATTCTACATGATATTATTCCAACATTAGAAAATTTCCATACAATTAATTATTTATTCAATCCAATTGGTTTTTCTAATCCATTATGTAAAGATTCTATGATGTATTTAACAATGAATCAAATTGAAGGTTTATGGTCTTTACGTAAATGTCTTATATTATTAGATTTACAATATACTTCTATAAATTCTCATTCATTTACATCATTGAATTCAATCAATCCAATGAAAATCAAAGAATGTTCATATGCTATTCATCAATTGAATTTAACATGCATAACAAATTCACATTATTTACAATTTAAACAATCATATTCTCAATGGTCATTATATGAATTAGATAAAAGTATTGGACATTTATACATTGCATATTATATTATGCAACATAATAAAACTTTAATACAATCATCATCATCATTATCGTCATCATCCTCATCATTATCATCACCATCATCATCATATTGTATTGAATGTAAATCATTCACATATTTATCATCATATGATATTAATTGTTGTTGTGAATTGTTTAATTGGAATTGGAAAAAATTGAATATATTTCTTTGGAATAATACTATTGATAACTATAAGGTAAATGATTTTGTTTAATGATTGTATTCTATATTGAACTTTTGTATGGTGGTCCAGTTTGAACGATTAGATTGATTAATATTTTAGTTAAAATTTGGGAGTTGGATGTAATCCCATCTGACTATTCACAATCACTGATTGTCCCAATATATAAGAAAGGATCAAAATTATCTTTTGATAACCATAGAGGGATTAGTTTGACTAATATAGCATCTAAAATATTAACCTCAATAATTATCGGGTGCCTAATAAAGACACGTGAATTGAAAACACGAGAAAATCAGGCTGACTTCAGACCTACCTGGTTGTGGCTGCATCGACCACATATTTACCATTCGTCAGGTTCTAGAATACAGGCATACTTCTCGGCGTCTAACAATGGTGGTCTTTCTTGAGTTAAAAGAAGCATTTGACTCAGTAGACCGCGAGATTCTGTGGCAGTGTCTGTCATTGAAAGGCGTACCTCATAAGTACATAAAATAACTTGTGAAGGCTCTTTACTCGAACACTACCAGTCGAGGTAGAGCTTATGGCGAACTGTCATCTGATTTTGCAACCACAAATGGTGTCCGTCAAGACTCCGCTTTTTCCATTTTTGTTTAACTTTATCATAGACCTACTGATGGAAATATTTATTTATTTATTTATTTTAACACATAGATATCGGTACAAGAAGGCACCAAATACATATGTGCCACACAAATCTCATTCGATATGTGTGAGGGCTGTAATACTGCACGGCTGCCCAAACCGAAGCGGGTGGTTTTCATAGGGGGCCACTCCCCGAGCCTTCGACCTGAAGGTCTGATCCACAAAGCAGTGGAGCAACGTAAGGAGATGCAGTCCCATGGTAACCGGTGACCAACGATTGGTTCATACGCCACTTATTCATTCGGGATACTGGAGACCACGTGCACCATTGGTTTGGAATCAGGGTTTTCCAACTCCCCTAGGTGGACCCTCCATGTCCACCAATCCGGTTAAAGTGCTGGACATTCGCTTTTCGTCCTCTCAATTTCGTGAACAACACCCTTCCCACGAGAAGGCAGTGAGTAGGACTTCCCTGGCAGAGACTATATACGCGTGGCTATGTGAGAGCATTTCGAGAGGGAGAGCGGATTCTCCCCACTCTCGGCCATACCAGGGCATTTGGGGACACTGATTGAAATAACATTCTGGTCGACTGAATTCTCGGGTATTGATCTCCTTCCAGAAGGTCAACTTATCAACTTAGAATATGCAGATGATACAGTCCTGTTTAGTGAAGACGCTGATGAAATGCAGAGTCTTTTGGTAGCACTGAGCAAAAATGCCAGTGTTTGGGATGCGCTTCTCCCTCTCTAAATGAAATTTGTTACTTCAGGACTGGCCTGCGTCAACACGTGAACTAAGGATAGGGAGTGAAGTAGTCGAGTGGGTTGAAAACTTCATTTATCTTGGAGGTCTGGTCAGCCCTAATAGATTGGTGTCTGATGAAATCTCAGCAGGAATTCTGAAAGCTCGTTTGGCTTTTAACAACTTACGTCACCTATGACGAAGGCGAGATATCCGTCCATTAATTAAGAGATGAGTATAATGCGTAGCAGTTCGTTATGTTCTACTTTACGGCTGCGAAACGTGGTCATTAAGAGTTGAAGATACTTGTAAGCTACTAGTATTTGATCACAGATGTCTTGGAAATATTGCTTGTGTCTTCCGGGATCACCGAATATGTGATAGTGAGGTTAGACGCAGAGTATTAGGGAATGATGGTCAATCGGTTGATGAAGTTGTGAATCATCATCATCAACTGAGATGGTTGGGTCACGTGTTACGTATGCCTGAACACCGATTACCACGACGTGTAATGCTGACTAGTGTTGAGGATGGTTTGAATAAAGTTAGGGGTGGCCAAACCAAAACGTGGTATCAGTGCTTGAAGTCACTAACTTGTAGTCTGATCCATGTTGGTAGATGCAGACTACTTAATTGGGGTCCTCTTGACTATCATAACCAATGTTTGGAGACTGTGTGTGACATGGCTCAGAATCGAACACAATGGCATAGGTATATACACTCGTTGTCCTCCCTTAAACTGTGAGATTAAAATTACTTTATACCGTTCTTTCTACAAACTGATTATTTCTTCCTGTATTATATCCTTATGCTCAATCTTTCTTTTATATATTACCACTATTGAGTTAGCTACTTCTATGAATTTGTTGTCCATCTTGTTGTGTTAACGAGGTATGGCAACTTTGACCGATGCATATATGTTCCTGGTCCTACGTTGTGGTTGACTGACTTTTGTTAAATAAAAGCGTGTATCCTTCATACATATATTCCCTGTGATTTTATTTATAAATTATTTATCTAAATTAATATTTATATTCTTGAGGTGAATATCGATCTAGTCACAAGTTTGAATCTATTCTACATACTTCAGTTCAAGTAGTTGAATAGCATTAATAATTCTTTTAAACATAGCTGCTGGCTTAACATCTTTGTTGGGATTGCCTATCATGACTATCTAACCGACTTATACTGCTTGGAACACGCGTTCCCTCGGGTCGTACAATATGAGGCAGTTTGGTTGTATAGTGGTAATAATAAACGCTGCAACTTATGGTTTGAGGGCTGTTGATTTTAATGGGCTTTGACAGTGGGTCGACAACAATACTAACCAACTTTCCTTTTTAGTTACTCCGTGAAGAAGTATCCTTACACTGTGTGAGCAACTGCGAAGTGACGACTGTCCACTCACAATAAAAGTACTCGCGATCATTTTGTTCACAATCAGTAACTCTTGTATAAAATGTTTACTCAAAATTTTATTTGGCAAATGAGTTGAAAAAGATGTAGTCAGGATTTGAATATGATAAAAATCTTGGTATAGTGGAGAATCAGGGGATGTGTTTTACAAAATTAGTTGACAACTTAAAGAAGAAACAAGACATTTAAAACCATGTAATCAATCATTTGATCTAATATTATAAGTTTCATTCAGTTAGGAGAAACATCTTGTTCTGTACGACGTGTACAGCAGGATTTGTACAGATTTATATTCTAAGCCAAGCTTGACAGAATAAAATATCACTGTATTATGGAATTGTGTTGGGGAATTAGTGACTGACTAACGGATCACTACAGCTATCTTTGATTCTATGGCTCCATATCAGATTCCTCTCGCTCATGTACGCGACTCGTTTGAAACTAGAATTCTCCAGCTCTCCTAGGTAGACTATCGTATGCACTTATTAGGATTAATTACCCAATATTATTTTTCATCCTGATGTTTGTGGAAATGCCGTCGCCTTATAAAGGGAGTGAATAAGACAATTCTGAAATAGAGTGGTTGATCCACGAATTTATTAGAGCACTTTAAGAGTGAACGAAGATATCCCTCAACCGCTGCCGTACTGGGATATTTGAAAGGACATAGTCGTCTAGTGTCTCCATTATATCAGTAACGAAATTTAAAAATGCTTCAAATTGTAGGACTAACTCTCATGATGTCTATGACTATATCGATAACTATTAACTACACTTTGGTACCTTGCTGTCACAACTGTCTTTTTATATCCTAGCCCTGGGCACTCCTAAACATAAACCTTATACGGGAGATTTATTTAGTAGAGACCAAAACAGATCAATCCAGTTAATTTTTGCCCCCAAATGCCCTGGTAAGGTCGAGGGTGGGGGGAGTCCACTTTTCCTCTCGAAATACTCTGACATGGCCACGCGTATACGACCACTATCACGGAATTCATACTCACTCCATTCTCGTGATCAGGGTGTTGTTTACAAAATTGACAACACGAAAAGCGAATGTCCGATACTTTAACCGGGTTGGCGGACATGGTCAGTATACTTAGGGGAGTTGGAAAACCCTCATTCCAAACCAATGGTTCACATGTGCTGGCTCCAGTATCCCAAAGGAACAAATGGTGTATGAACCGATTGTTGGTGACCGGCTACCATAGTACGGCATCTCCTAACGTTACTCCACTACCTTGTGGATTAGGCCTCTAGGTTAAAGGCTCAGGGAGTGGCCCCCCTAAAAAACAACCACCTGTCTCGGTTCGGGTGTCCAAACAGTAGCTCAACCCTCACACATATCGAATGAGATTTGTGTAATTGGTTCCTCCTTGTACCAATATCTATGTGTTAAAATAAATAAATAAATAGTTGATTTTTGACAAAAGAATTCGCCAAATTGAACCAATGTTACAGACAAAAAAATTGCACTGAATTAATTAGTACAAATGAAAGTGCGCTGAAAGGTAATTTAATGAAAATCACTCTAAACAAATATTTGATCTTACAATCGATTTCTATCTAATATGTTTTATTTATGGATTGAACATCCCTAACGCATACTTAACTTACTAATAACCGTGATTCATTGGTTCAGTAGTTCAACTTTTTTGTTACTAGGTCACGGGTTCGAACCTCGCCACACTGTCTTTAGCTCAATTAATATTATTAGCCCTCACACTTACATTATGGTTCGAAGTCAGGTATATAATTCGTATCTGGTTGATGAGTCAGTTAAAAAAGCTGATTTTATTGACTTGTTATATTTACCTACAGTGTCCTATTGAATAACAGTCTAAATGTTTGGATAAATAACCTAATCACAAGTCTTAAACTTAATAAACGTGATCAGAGATTACGTTACTTTATGACATATCGTATTGGGGTAAAATAATATTCGGTGGTCATTAAGTATCGAATTTTTTATAGGATTTTAGAAATTGTACAAGTCATTATATTCTGCTGTCCCATTCATTCACCATCCATTTTCTTAACGTTTTAACTGACCCATATTTGGAGATGAAGTGGACAAGGATTTGTTAGGAAGCTTTATTGTCGAAAGTCAATTGACAATGTTTATAGCTTATGGATTCCCAGATTGACAGACACATGGTTGTTTTACCTTGGTAAATATCCTCTTACTCTTAATAGGTCATCCACTCTTAAATTGTATTATGACGCTTTGAGACTTGTTTGGCTTGGCTTATCACATCACCAGTTCCGTCAAGATTGCAGGTATACCTTGCTGACGAGTGCCTAATAGCATGAAACCTAGGTTCAGGTTTTCCAGTCGACTACCTCCAACCACCATCTTATCTCAACATTGTGCACGCAATATCGAGAAATATATAGAAAGTGAAGTAATATAAACATTGGGACAATATCATAAATACTAGTAAAGAAGCGAAATGGCTGAGTGGGTAGGTCAACTAATTGATATAAATTTGAAAGTTACGTCATGAGTGAATGTCAGTTAAGTTTTCAGATTTGAAATTGCACCAAAAGGAGATTATGTAATAGGCAAACATTAAACCTTCTTCCTGTGCAGAAAGGTCAGGTCAAAAGCATTCGGTGTCACTAGCCTCTGCAAAGCAGAGTATAAAGTGGCTTTCAGTGCTTCTTAACTAATTTGAATAGCCTTGTGTTATCCACCATATGTAATCATTTTGTTGTTTATAGCTAACCAGTTTAAAGCGGTTACTCTGTGGTTAAGGGATTCGATTTTAATCCACTAAGTTAAACTACATCTCACCTACTTCGGTTTGGAAGAATGGGTAATATCATCAGCCTTTACATTTACAGTATGACTTAAAGTGAAATATACAAATATGCCCGTGGTAGATGAGTTAATAAAAAGTGTACTAATGACCTTTTTATGAATGTATCTTCTAAACTAATTATAATCACGTACTTGTTGTTGATGTTATAGTCCTATACATGATTGTGCATTGCTTCATTATTTAGTTGTACTTATTATTTTTTGTGTAAAGCGTCTATCGATACGTCTTTGTAGTTAATAGTTATTTTGTTAAACTCTACTGTTCTACGCAATACTACACGTCTTTCAGCATCTGAGGCCATCAGATTAACTGACTGATGTACTGTATTAAATTAGTAATCTACTTCATGTACTCAATTTTCATATTTTAGTTAACATATTATTAATGAATCAAGAATATTGTTTGATTTCCTCCAAAACAGTGTTGTACATTTCAATATATGATGTTTCTAGTTTAATGAAGTTTAAATAAATTATCTTAGAAAATAGGGTAAGTTTGACATTAGATGACGGAATTATTATGTAAGTATAATTGAATTATGTGATTTGATATTGTTTGTAGTTTTTCAACCACTTATCATTACAAATGATAAGTGCCCTGGTACGGCCGAGAGTGTGGAGAGTCAGCTCTCCCGCTCGAAATTCTCTCAAGTAGCCACGCGTATACAGCCACTGTCAGGGAAGTACTACTCATTGTCTTCTTATGGCGGGGGTGTTGTTTACAAAATTGACAACACGAAAAGCGAATGTCCGACACTTTAACCAGGTTGATGGATATGTAGGGTCCACCTAGGGGAGTTGGAAAACCCTCATTCCTAACCCATGGTGTAAACGGGCTCCAGGATCCTAAGCAAACAAATGACGTATGAGCAAACTATTGGGGACCGACTACCATAGTACTGTATCTCCTAACGTTTCTCCACTGCCTTGTGTATTAGAACTTTAGGTCAAGGGCTCGGGACGTAGCCCCCTGAGAAAACCACCTGTTTCGATTTGGGCATTCGGACAGTATCCTAGCCCTCATACAAATCAAATGAGATTGTGTGGAGCATATCTATTTGGTGCCCCCTTATACCAAAGTTTATGTGTTTAAATAAATAATCATTACAATTTGAACACTTCGCTTTGTAAGTTAATACATATGAAGAATTTTCATTTTACTGAAATCACTAAACGATTTCCATAACTCTTTACTGACAATTTTCCTTGTTTTTGTTTCTATTTATTTTCACTTTTATAGTGTTTCAAATTGCCATCATTTTTATTATCAACTAAATATTCTGAATTATCAACATCATCATTTAAATCTTCTGTTATTCCTGATCTAATCGATTCAACAGATAACAATATAAATGAAAAAATGTTCATTGAAAATTATCCTCATTCAGCTGATATGATTATTCAAAGTCGAAATAGTAAATCATCTAAAAGTTTAAAATCATCATCATCATCATCCACATCATCAATTAAATCGCATAAAATTAATCGTCCACATTCACATAATGAAGGATTAGTTGTACCAGCTGCTTTAGGTGGATCACATAGATCAACAGCATATATGCGTCTTAATAATCGTGTACGTATTATTGAACGTAATGTCTCTGTCAGTATGAGGTATGTTAATTTTTGTAATATTGTTGTTTTGTCTTTGTCTTTTTTGTTGTTGAATATATTTATTCATCAAAAATGTGATTATATCTCCATTAGACTGTCGTATCTTAGTTGATTAAGCTAATCAATTTGTATGCATTAAATTTGTTGGTTCAAATTCTCTTCCATCTGGTTGAAGTCAGTCAATGAAACCATGTATTAAAGTTATGGGCTTAAATGAATTACATCGAATTCTCCGACTAGTCAGTTAGTGATAATCTGTATTTATTTAAGTTGTCACACTTTATACTCATATTATTGATCCGCTTACGTAAACAAACCAAACAACGGAATAAACTGTACTGAAGAATGATGAGCTATAAATTTGTAAGACAGTAAAGACTGAATCCATTTGCATGTCATATCTAGGATTTTTTGCCGTTGATTTTCTTTCAATTTACTCCTATATTAGTCAGTGTAGTAAATTAACAGCTAATAAATGAAAGTAAATTCGCCTTATCAGTCAGTTTACCATTTCTTTCTTGTTAGAAGTAGACAAAGAATGTAATTTCATCATTCATCATATTTTTCAACTTTATATGAAGAGAAAACCAGTGGAACACATAGTAGTTTACAGAAACTATTCAATGGTTTCAGATGTCGTAAACATTTCAATCGATCTAAGACAATGTTACCACTTAGAATTTTCTATCTTTAATTGTGAAAATCTTGAACATTAGTGTTTCTTTGTAATAATTTTCATACTATCGTATAAATGAATACATAGTCGTACTCTCATCTTTTTTTCAAATTGTTCTGTAATGATGAATATTTTAGCTTGGTTAGTACATGTCTGAGTTTCGATTCCCTTATTTGTCATTTCTTGCTTAGAAGTTTCGTTATTTTCCTTATTATAGAGCTAATTAGAAACGCTACTTAATTACTGTTTGTGGAGAGGAGCATAGGCCACCCACCCGCTGTGCTGTACTTAAGGATCTCGATTTTTCCCTTGTATGTGTGGCGGCTTACTGATGCAGAGGCTGCTGCTACACTAACTGTCTACACTTGAATTTGTTAGTATGTATAGGATTGAAGAACTAGGTCATCTGTAAAGTCCAAATCATCTAGTTGTATCCAATCTGTCCATTGTATTCCGTGCTTCTCCTTAGATGGCAAGGTCACCATAATTCCAATTAATAGTCTATCTATTCACATCTCACTTATAACAAAATCATTTATAAATTCTAACCTTTTAAATATACTACTTGGTTGATGATAATTGAACAAGGTTAAATTTAACTTACTTATCTGGACGTAAGTAACGTCTATTTCTGTTTCACTGTTCAATGAAATATTTCATTAATCAATTTGACCACAATTCAATATCCAATATGTCATACGACTTCGTTATTCAACTCGATATACGCATGCAGACAATAACATGATAAAATCTGAAAATAAAAAGCTATTTAGTTATTATGTTAATTATTTATTATTTATTTATTTAAACACATAAACGTTGATATAAGGAGGCACCAAATTCGCATGCGTCACTCAAAACATTCGGTTTGTATGAGGGCTGAGCTACTGTTCAGACACCTGAACCAAGACAGGTGGTTGTTTTTTAGGGGGGCCACTCCCTGAGCCTTTAACCTAGAGGCCTAATCTACAAGGCAGTGGAGTAACGTTAGGAGATGCAGTACCACGGCAGTAGGTGACCAACAATTGGTTCATACACCATTTGTTCCTTTGGGATACTGGAGCCAGCACATATGAACCATTGGTTTGGAATGAGGGTTTTCCAACTCCCCTAGGTGGACTCTCCATGGTCCGCCAACCCGGTTGAAGTGTCGGACATTCGCTTTTCGTGTTGTCAACTTCGTAAACAACAGTAATGCCACGAGAAGGCAGTGAGTAGGACTTCCTTGGCAGAGGTTATATACGCGTGGCCATGTGAGAGCATTTCGAGCGGGAGAGCTGACTCTCCCCACTCTCGGGGCAAAGATATTCGTTGAACAAAATTATCATATCACATTAGTATGATGAGATGAATATATCAAAATACTTAACAAAATACATTGAAATACTCTGGTAGCAATTATAATAAGAACAATCAAACATTTGATATATACTTAGTTCAAAAAGACAATGTAGAAAGATCTGTATGAAGAAATACTAAAATTCTATATTGTGAACAAGTCAAGTATTGAATTCTTTCTATGATTAATTATATATATTTTTTTATTTGTTGCTTTTATAGGTACTTAGAAGAACTTAGTCAAAGTTATCGTCGTCAAATGGAACGTTTAGCACGTTCATTTAATCTTACTTATGCTTGGTTAAAAGTAACAGCTCATACTGCTGAAGAACGTGATCGTCAACAACAAGTTAGTTAAAATAAATAAAATTAAAATTATTGATTATAATTCATTTCATGCTTATTATTAACATAATATCTGGATTGGTTGAAGTTAAACATTAACACCGTCTGGTGATTTAGCGCTCACGCGTGAGACTGTTAGGTCCTGAGTTGGGATCTTGCGAAGCGGGATCGTGGATGTTCACTGCTGAGGAGGAGTCTCATACTAGAACGAGACGGCCATCCAATGCTTTCAAGTTTTCTATGGTGATCTAGCTTCAATTGACTCATGAATTTAACTATTAAAAATAAATAATATCTTGAGCTAGAATGATTCAAGTTATATGCCTTTTATTCAACATTTATCGATCATAGTTGGGGAATTTGTTTTAATTGAAACGAATTTATGAAGAACTAAGATTCCTTCATAATCTCAACCATTAAATTCAATAATCATCAATCCGTTGCATTAATAATAATCATTTGCTAACTGATACTTAACTTTGAAAGTTGATTCTCTATATTCATTTGAAAAGTTGTGACCAGTTAAGATTCAAACATTTTCACATGTGCAAACGATTACCCATCAGTGACATCAGAAAATAGTAGCACATTGTCATGAAATAGTTGATGTTAGCAATGTAAACTATCAGAAATCAACTCAGCGTTTTAAATGCTAGGCATTTGGTGCAAAACCTTAAAGGTTTTGAGTTCAATCCTTGGTGGGGTTGTGGAAATATAACACTTAAGAGTTCTGTAATAAGGTGAAGCAACTGCCCAATAGATCATGAAATACGTATACATACTTTTCGAATAGCTGAATATTGCTACCATTAGACTGGCTCAAATGATTTTCTATATTGTTACCTTGATGTACAATGATCAGCTAAGATGAATATCTATCGGTTTAAATTAGCACATCTCAGTAATAGGGAAAAACAACCAGATGAGAAGGCCATAAAATCGAGGAACAGACATCACTTGTTTTAAATTATCACTCGTTTTCAATCATGTATTTTAACTAGTTGTGTAAGCTTCAACCAGAAAGTATATACCTTTGATTGTAACAAATCTTAGGTGGTGGCGAGTGATAACTGCTATCATTGTTTGATTGAATATATCAATCGTCATCTTCGTTCTTCCTATCGTATCTCACTAACTATCATAAAACGTTTTGTCAATATTAATCAAATTGGTGTTCTCATTAATCACTTCCTTTTTCATATGCATTTAAATAGAAATGCTTATCTAAATAATAATCAAGAAAATGGGATGTAGCTGGTAGTGGAATTCAGGATTGGATGTATTTCCTTCTTGGAGTTGACGATCACTTTATGACTTAAGCCTCTTACCTTTCACTTCAAACACGCAACGCATTATCAATTTAGCTACTGTGTCCAGATGGGTACTCAATTTCATTTAATTTGTAGTGATTTGGGATGTTTGATAATGAACACCATGTTAGTACTTTAAAATCGATCAAAATAATCAATGCTGAATCTATTTCAAGTTTATTATGTTACCTGAAGAGGGCATCACTGTTAAAAAATTTAAACCAAACTTATATATTCTAAAGGATACAGTTGTAAATATCTAACTACCCTGCTAATTAATAGTCTAGATAATATTCTGTTTCATTTTCTCTATAATAGATTTCCTTCGTTTCATTCTTGGATCTTTTTCAGCTTTTTACTTATCTCACTCTGTTATATTGCCAAAGTTTATGGTTGTTATTGGATAACATTGATGCCGATTTTCTTCCTCTAGAAACATATCTTCATGTGTTCTAAGTTTTTTCCTCTACAACTTTCACATTTAGTAATATATAAAGTGTCCATCCAATATATATCACTTTGTACCATAGGATATTTCCTGTTAATAAACCGTTTTATATTTCTTCTCTAACTGTTGTTATTATTCTGCTAATCTTTTTGAATAGAATCGAAAGTATGTAAATTAATTGTAAATATTCATTACTATAAGCAAAGATGGATTATGGCTAACAGTGAGATCCAGGACGCGCGTTTCGTCCTATCTGGGACTCGTTAGCTTGATGTACCTGTATCTCAGAGTTGATGTTCACTCTGGGACTCGATCAATTGCAGTCTTAAACGTCAATAGGAAGATTCAAACAAACAATACCAAGTGAATTTAAATTCACCCCATTGCACAAGTAAGCGGCTATCAGAACTCAGTAGCTAAGTGGATAACGCAATGGCGTTTGAAGCGTACAGTACGGGGTTCGGGTGCCATTGTTAACATCGACTCTGAAATGCAAGTACATCCAACTCACGAATCCCCAATAGGACAGAATGCATGTCAAACTAGATTTCACTGCTAGCTACTATCCATCTTTGCTTAAAAGACTTGTGAATTATGGCAATATCGAAGCAATACACTGGATGTACATATGCCAATAAGAGACTGATCAATGGGAAGTTCCAAGAAAACAAAATTAAATGAATGATTACTATAGTTTTTAAATTGTAAGCAACTGATGAGAATCTATCAAATAACTGAATTAACATTTTTGATGTTTAGTTTAGTTAAATTTATCAATGAGAAAAACATCAATAGTAGGATATTAGAAATCGTTATAAATCAAATTAATAATGAAGGTTTGACGCTCAGATGGAAATTTTTGATGTTACTGTACTGTCCATGTGATTATCGTAATCAATTGTTGAGACTCTGGGTAACATGGCTCAGAATCGATCACAATTGCGTAGGTGTATGCACTCTTTGTCATCCCTTTAACTGTGAGATTAAAATCACATTATATCTTTCTTTCTACCCACTAATTCTTTCTTCTTGTACTATATCCTTATACACAATCTTTCTTTTATTTATTACTATCAGTGAATTAACTACTATGAATCCGGTGTTCATCTTGCTGTGTTAATGAGGTATGGCAACTTTTACCGATGCATATATGTTCCTGGTCCTACGTTGTAGTTGACTGACTAACTCTACTGTCTATGGTAGATAGTTTAATTGGGGAGCATTTATTATCGTTCTGATTGACATCATTAGTGCCTACATTTTGTAAAAGTGAACTTTTTATTTATTCCACAAGTAATATCATTGCAGTTAGACAACCATGAAAATGAATTCGATTAGAGAAACGTCGAATTTCTGGATTGAAGAAGTTAGCGATTTTAGAAAATTTCTGAAATCATGACATTCAGATCTACTGGTACTTTGTAGACATATCGACACAGATCAGTCTATCAATTCATAAGATAGATGTCAATCAACCACGACATGGTCAGAGGTCAACTGAAAAAAGACAGTCAACATAACTAATCACAAATAATACCTTTAAAATGAATTGAAAAGTAATTGCAAAGCTCACTTGCATATGATGTAGACACTGATGATTTTTTTTCCTAAAGGACAACAAAATCTCTGTAATCAAACCATTTTGTTCAGAAAACACAAAACTACCAAAAAATTGTATTTTATGAATATAACACGTGCTTACTCTTGATTTGATATTTTTATTTTATTTAATCAGCATCGTATTTCACAATTAGAATTACAATTGAATGATTTAACTGCACGTATAAAATCTCGATTATTGAATTCATTACCTCCTTCTTCGTCATCTGGTCAACCGGATTTAACATTAACATCTTCTCCTCTATCTTCCAACACTTCCAGTTCATCATCTTCATCAGAATCCGTAGTCACAACACCAGCCAATACTGGAGGGACTGTATCAAGTTCATCTACTTCAAAATCATCAAATTTAGTCACATCACTTACTTCTCCACCACCATTGCCTGACTTTGAAAGTTCTCTAGATTGGAATCCATGGCTTAAATCTCAACATGATGATTGGTATATGATGGTTGATGGTGATATGGTTGTAGGTAATAATAATGATGATGTTGATGATGCGGAATTTGAATCAGATGATAGTTATCAAACAAATGATGATGTTTATCTATCAAGATTAGATGTTACTACTGCCACATTGTCGAAAAATTATAAAGAAAAATTTAAACAAACTACAACTGGCACTACAAACTCTAAAAGTCATCATATTAACAGTGATAGTGGTGGTAGTAGTGACAACAACCTTCTCAGCCCCAGCAGTAGTAGTGTCAGTAATAATCCAAATGAATACAATGTAAAATCTTTATTCAATTCATATTTATCTAGGAGAGATTATAAAGATCAACATTATCATATGGAATCATCATCATCATTGTTCTCAGAATGGAAACAGTTCGTACTTGGTTTGTTATGGTTACAGTTCAGTTGGCCTGTATGGTTATATAATTTTGGAGTATTTATTCATGATTTCTGTCAAATGAATACAATGATTTTAAACGTAGGTCAATGTGTTTTCCATTCTTCATTATTTATTTGTTTATTTTTTAGCTTCATAATTGGAATAGGTTTTACCACCATAGTCCCCTCTTTACAGTTGATCATGAAGTTTCAAGGTCGAACCCCATCTGACATAGATTCATCTTATGATTGAATAATACGTAACAAACGACTAACTTTTTATAATACAAAGATACAAATTTAAGAGAGAAACTATGCTGAATTAAACATTTTATTATTACAATAACTTTGAAGGTAGTTTTTATCTTAAACTCAACAGCAGCTTGGTGCTGTTGGAAGGCTTGTTATCCTGATTTTGATGGCTTCACATTATTACTGGCTCTTCAGTATTACTCATAGCAAACCACACACTATCTGGATCTTTGATTGTTAGGGGAGCCTTTTTAAAATTACTCAATTAGAAGCTATGACTGCCAGTAAAGCTCATGATTTTCGGAATTCTGAAACACTTATCAGTGATAGTGATGTAATGACAACAGTGTATTATGTTGAACTTACTACAGTTGGTTATTTTATGGATCACCAGATTCCAACTTAGCTTTTAAAATTCGATCATGCACGAGATCTGAGATATATTCCTATTGGTTTGGATTCTTCATGAAGTTGTCATGGTGCACTATTCAGCTATTTTATAACATTAAATAAAACTTTATTTTACTTATTTATTTAAACACATAAACATTGGTACAAGGAGGCACCAAATAGATATACGCCACATAAATCATTTGATTTGTGTGAAGGCTGGGATACTGCCCAGCTGCCAAAACCCAAACAGGTGGTTTTTTTTGGGGGTGGGGGCACACTCCGAGCCTTCGACCTAGAGTTCCAGTCCACAAAGCAGTGGACCAACGTAAGGAGATGCAGTCTGATGGTAGTCGGTGACCAACAATTGGTTCATACACCATTTGTTCCTTCAGGATACTGGAGTCCATGTGCCCCACTGTTTTGGAGTGAGGGTTTTCCAACTCCCCTAGGTGGACTCTCCATGTCCACCAACCTGGTTAAAGTGTAGGACATTCGCTTTTCGTGTTGTCAATTTCGTAAACACTAGTAATGCCACGAGAAGGTAGTGAGTAGTACTTCTTTGTCAGTGGTTGTATGCACGTGGCTTCTTGAGAGCATTTGAAGAGGGAGAGCTGACTCTACCCATTCTTGGCCGTACCAGGACATTTGGGGGGATTTGTATGACACATATGTATCTGGTGCCCCCCTTGTACCAATATCTATGTATTCAAATAAAAAATAAACACAATATATATTACATAATTCTTGTTTTTTTTTTCAATTATCTTCTTTAATGTGTATATAGATGTTCAGTTTGATATTTCTTCATATAATATTAGCATCCATTGTTCATTTGATCATTTATTGGATTTGGCTTAGACCTAAAAATCATACGATCAGTAAATTTGATACCGAATTATTATTATTATCTAATGTATATCAAGTATTATATTGTAAAAAAAATCCTCAAAATTCTAATAGTTGTATTGTATATTTGAATCCAATGAATTCTACACAACATATAACACATTTACTTCCTTCAATCAATATTAATACAACTACTATCAATGATATTAATAATAATAATAATCCTCACATTCCTGATAATGTTGGTAGTGAACACCATGATCATGAATATGACAGGAACCAGTCTTTTGACAAAGCATCTAGCATTATTCTTACCAATACTATGACTACTACTCATGATAATAGTCATAATAATAATAATAATAATAATAATAATAATAATAATAATAATAATAATACTCACATTACTGATAATGTTGATGGTGAAGATCACGATCATGAATATGACAGGAGACAGTCTTTTGATAAAATATCTAGCATTATTCTTACCAATACTATGACTACTACTAATGTTAATGATAGTAATAATAATAATAATAATGACAATATTTCAGTACCCAAATCTTTTACTTGTTGTCAAATGAATGAATTATTTCATACAAATAAACCAACTATTGAAATGACTTATAATCATCAATTAATTAAAACTGATTTTATTAATGAGAATCATTATTCATTAAAAGAAATTAATCAAAATTCTATTCTTACTAATGTATATAATCAATGTATTCATAATATCAATTCATGTTGTTTAATGAAAGAAATACAACTTCATAGAATTGAGGTAAATGATATACTTTTTTTCTTCAAATGTTTATTTGAATAACTGTTGATAATTTGGAATTGTTTCCAACCCCCCCCCCAGAACTTTTCATTGTATATCATAAATTTTTTTAGATATTACATCAAGTTAATATATTGAAATGAAGTTCTGTGATCTGAAAGTAACACATTCGCCCTCCAAAATGCCTTGGTACGGCCAAAAGTGGGGAGACACAGCTATCCCTCTCCAAATACTATCACATGGCCACGCGTATACAACCACTGTCAGGGAAGTCCTACTCACTATCTTCTCGTGGGGGGGATGTTGTTTATGAAATTGAGAAGACGAAAAGCGAATGTCCGGCATTTTAACCGGATTGGTTGACATGGAGAGTCCATCTAGGGGAGTTGGAAAACCTTGAATTCAAACTAATGGTTCACATAGGCTCCAGGATCTTAAGGAAACAAGTGGTGTATGAACCTATTGTTTGTGACCGGCTATCATGTGACTACATCTCCTGATGTTGCTCCACTGACTTGTGGATTAGACCTCTAGGTCAAAGGCATGGGGTGTGGCCCCCTAAAAAATCCACCTGCTTCACTTTGGGCCCACGGACAGTATCACAGCCCACACACAATCACAATGAAGTGACGAAAGTTACTGAAAATGCTATTCTCACCTCTATTTGACGCATATTTATCTGGTACCCCTTTATACCAATATTTATGTGTTTAAATAAATAAATAAGTAAATAAATAATATCTGAAGGTCATCGAGTTCGATATTTGACTAGGTGTTAGGGATGTTAGATCCCCAAAACTCACTTGTTAAATGCCTTTTGTAATTCTATCATAACAATTTGAATTTTTTGTTTTTACTCCAATCGCACGCATTTTTACCTTCATTTCGTATTTACCACTTGCGAAGATCTTAAGCGCTATTGGTTCGTTGTATCTTTTAGTATGCTATTTTGTAACGCTTCTCAAGGACAGTTTTATGCTGTACATATACGTTTGATTTGTGCCTGTTATTGTTCGTGCTTCTGGCTGCTTGTGGAACATTTTTCCCTCTTCCGAACTTAGATTTCTCTGTGTAGTTTGCGGGGCTGGTACGCATCTGAATAGCTAGCTTATCGGTCATTGTGTCACAGAGTTTTCGTTCCGTTCGCAGATCAGGTGAACTCGTAATCTTTTCAAACATAACACTGGGTCATGATTTCAAACTGCTAATTAGTCCCATACAGTCAGTCAACCATAGTTATATGATCCAAAATAGTTGTACGTTGCTTCAGTTTGCCATAGAACAGTACATTCAGGTAAAATCAGAAATATGAATAGGGAATAATTCAAAATAACTATAGTAGCAATGATAATGAGAAAGATTGAACACTGAGAACATGGTAGTCCCATAACAAGATAGAAACAGCTGTTCAGTGCTTTCTGCTTTTCAACGGTTTGTCTGTTTAAGTAAATTCTTTATGTAAACCATCTTTCAGCATTGTTTGATACATTATTCTTTGAAAGTATTCATACTGATTCGGTTCTTCTAGTTTTTGACTCAATTTATACCTTTATTATCTTAAAGAGAACAAGAACAAAGATTAGTGCAGAATAATATGAATTCATTTTATTTCGTTAGGTCCTCGTCAGCTGCTTACAACCTAAAATATTTGAAATTCAACGTTATTATAGATAATGACATACTTATACATCAGAGGGTGATGAAGGATGAATAAATGTATCATGGTGTAGCGAAGATTCCGATAGAGTTAATGCGGTCATAAGATTTTGTCTCGAGTAAATAAAGTTAGGAAGGGAAAGTTCTGGAACATTGAAATAGTGATTAGAACTCATGAAAATAGATTAATGGTAATAAAGAAAATATGAATTGAAATCAGTCAATTATGTATGATGTAATTTAAAAGAGTTGGAGTAATGACGCAATAAATAAATAGCGAAATAAATGAATAAAATGGGTTATTGTTACCAGGGGAAAGAAAGATTTATTACTGTCACTTTTTGTATACATAGATCTGGTTTTAGTCGTTTGATTGCTATTGCTTCGACAAATTTCAAAAGGTTGGAGTTTGATTGTTTGTTAATCACCTTGAAGGACTTCAGCGTATCGACTTCATGCCCTGTGTCAAGGAGATGTCTTGCGATGGCACTGCTGAATGCTTTTAGTCCATTTGATCTTAAACTTTTCGGAATATGTTATTTGAGTCGAATGTAGGCTCTCCTTTCTGTTCTCTACCATTGTAACTGCTTTAGTAGATACATGTAAATTTGTATACACAGTTGGTGATAACATGTAAGGATACCAATCGATATCGTCACCTTTGAATTGAAGTTGAATAAAAATAGGCTTTTTATTTGCTGTAGTAATGGAAAGTCCATTAGGTCCTGTCCTAGCAGATATTTTCATGCCTAAACTCGAAAGAACCAAACTCAAACGAGCAATTGATGAAATGACGTATTATTCGAGGTGTGTTGATGATACCTTCATCGTATGTAATAATCAACAACACGCAACAAATCTGCTAGTTTTTCAACGAAGCCCATCCAAATATTCATTTCACTATGGAACATGAACAAGAAAACAAGTTCCATTTTCTCGATATCGCGATGAAACGAAGAAAGGATGGTACAGTTCAACGCTCAGTTTATAAGAATGACCCATGGAATGGAAGTTATCTCAATTTCAATAACTTTTGTCTAATCAGTTACAAAAAGGCACTGGTCAAAACATTGTTTTACAAAACAGAAAGAATATGTACTTCCGATACACTAGAAGAGGAAGTTATGAATGTTAAAAATGTTTAAACAATAATGGATACCCACTGAAATTTATTGAGAAATATGGCAAACGTGAAGATAAAAAACCCAAAGGAATTACAGCCTTTAACCTAGAGTTCCAATCCACGAAGCAGTGGCGCAACGTTAGGAGATGCAGTCCCATGGTAGCCGGTAACCAACAATTGGTTAATCACCACTTGTTCCTTCAGGATACTGGATTCCATGTTCACCATTGGTTTGGAATGAAGGTTTTCCAACTCCCCTAAGTGGACTCCTCTCCATATCCACCAAATTGGTTAAAGTGCCGGACATTCGCTTTTCGTGTTTTCAATTTCGTAAACAGTAGTAATGCCACGGGAAGATAGAGAGTAGTACTTCCCTGGCAGAGGCTATATACGCGTGGCCATGTGAGAGCATTTTGAGAGGGCGAGCGGGCTCTCCCCACTATCGGCCGTACCAGGGCATTTGGAGGCAGGTTATATATTGATTTTAACTGACTCCCTAATTTGTATACATCGTTAACTGACTTAAACTAGGGAATTATTGAAAATCAGAGTCCCAGGATGTGAAATTACTCAACAGTCCACATTCACAACGTAGTTGTAGATGGAATCCATGATTTCCACGAATTTCTTTGAATACATCTTCTGTGCATCATCACTGACTCGGAATGTTATATTTTAGGAAATTCATGTTCTCATTACAATATCAAATTTAGTTTTTACTGTAACTCTTTCTCTTTATTTTTAGGGTGATGGCATCTCTTCTCGTGTAGTTAAATGTGATCCTCAACTTAAACACTTTCCATCATTATTACAGCTGCCTACAATTTCCTCTTCATCAGACAATAGTCAATTCAATAAGGACGAATTGAAGTGTGGAGAGAATGGTAGGTCATTATTTGTTTGACTTGATTCTATTTAGCGTCGTACATTTAGACGTGCGTTGTTTTAATTTAAAAATGACTGAAACTGGAACCTATTACCCATCAATATATAAGTGCCAAAATAGAACACACTAATTTGATAATTCATAATACCCACCTCTTATTTAAGGGGTACCATAATAAGGATGAATTAGCAAGTTCCTATCGTAAATGTAAACGTATACGATATCAAAACATATATTTTAGTAGTCTTTACACTGATAAAGATTGATCAGTTCACTCATGAGTATGAAGAATATATGTTGTCGTTCTTACAAAAAAAAGTTTATATTGTTAATTTACGAAACTACTATTTAGATTTGGTCTAGTACGTGTTTTTCATGCTGTACATTATTATTGGAGTGTATACATATGGGAAAGAGTAGTTTGGCTTCAGTTTTTCGTTGATACGTAACTTTCACCTATATATTACAACTCTTTAAGTGTAGAGGCGACTTACATTTTTAAAAGATTCGACTTTCAGACAGTTGCTCCCAAGTTCGAGCCCCGCCTCATTTTGAATAACAGGGTTGAGATGATTTTAATGTCATAACTGATTTCTTACGTTTTGGTTTCGGTATCCAGATTTGAATTGCAGTGTGTATATGAGAGCTATTAATATTAACTAAGTATATTTTGCGTCGAACGTGTTCAAATCTGTTAGCTAGCAGTTGATATCCAACTACTCTGACCACTAAGCTACCACTCTCAGTCGTTCGTTTCGATAGATTCATCAGGATTGCTTTAGTTTGTTTAATCCCATCTATATAATGTTGACCGTCATCGACAGTGACATCGTTAGAAAACTTACACAGGTATGCTAAGGTTAACATATTTGTAAACACTTTTAGCTAGTTAGATGAAAATATCAGTCTATTTTTAGCATCGTTACGTTCTTAATGGTTTAATTGTGACGCACTTACTGTCATTCTAAACATTATCATTAACGCTGACTTAAGATAAGAGTATGTTTTGTAATAAACTATTCTACTAATGTCAAATAAACGCGTTCTACTTATCTTCAAGGACTAATCGTTATTTCCATGTAGATTATTATTTACCATAGTTTTCTTTTGTTAAAATTATCATTGTTTCACAGTATATGCATCTGCAGAATGTCAGTAACATGGTGAAGTGTTTTATGTATTAAATGTTAAATGGTTTTGTTGGGATGGCTTCTGGAAAGCTCTGTGAAGCCGAAGAGATCCCATCCAATAGGATTCATAGAATATCAACCTTGGATATTGTGATTGGACAGTTATATTAATTTCTTGTTTGCAGGTTGAGTTGATTATAATGATGTTTACAGTCTGTATCGAAAACTTTCAATACACCTGTTTTTTGTACATTTTGACATTTACTGCAGTAAACACTTCTCTTGTTTTCTTTAGTTCTTTTGATTTGCGACATGTGTCGCGGGGAAAGTTTCTATACATTCAAGTACCCAAGTCATATACCGTATTAACCTTAACCACATAGTAAACATAATTGTTTCATAATCAATTACCCCGCATTACATGTCAATTCAGTAATACATTTGTCACAATTGTATTCATACAATTATGAAGATAGTTGTGGATGATGGACATATAATCTTGCAAACAACTGGCAAACATCAAGCATTCACATTTTATATGTCGTTCAGTAAAGCGAAACGCAGAGATACACTGAAATCTATGCACTAAAACTGCACTGTTGAATAAAGTCATTATTATTATTATTATTACTACTACTACTACTACTACTACTACTACTACTACTACTACTACTACTACTACTACTACTACTACTACTACTACTACTACTACTACTACTACTACTACTACTACTACTACTACTACTACTACTACTACTACTACTACTACTACTACTACTACTACTACTACTACTACTACTACTACTACTACTACTACTACTACTACTACTACTACTACTACTACTACTACTACTACTACTACTACTACTACTACTACTACTACTACTACTACTACTACTACTACTACTACTACTACTACTACTACTACTACTACTACTACTACTACTACTACTACTACTACTACTACTACTACTACTACTACTACTACTACTACTACTACTACTACTACGGTGAATGAGATTGTAAATGAGAACATAACCATTATCTAATTGATTTTTATCTATCACAATGGGTATTGTTCTAAATTTAACGTTTAGTTATAAGTATTAGCTGGATGTCATATATATATATATATATGACTGACGTTTGTCAGCAAGGTTTTTTCCCTATGGGATGGGGTTGCCGATTCCATGCCTAACCCTCCTCGTTTACCCGGGCTTGGGATCAGCAGTAACTATAGGAGAGCTACGGGTGGAGTTATATATATATCATTAACGCAAAGTCATTTACAAGTTAAATACAATTGTTTATTTGTGTACTAATATATTTTTGTGTTGTTTAGGTAATTTACTTTTTCAACTGTTGTACATTATTGAAATACCAGAATCAAATGAATAATTAATGAATCTCTCTAACTGTTACTTTCAGTCAATAATTATTGTTTCATTTTTTCCTTATTCATTACTTTTCTATAGATTGTCCACAATCATCTATTTGTCAATTGAATGGATGCTTGGCACAGGAATTGAATAAATCATCAAATAGATCATCTCCTGATCATCATAGTAATAATAATGATCTAGAGGTAAATATTGATAATGATGGATTTAATAGTGATAACACTTTTTAAATGATAAGGTCTATTTATAGTTATGGACAATGATTGATATTCAACAAAATTATTGTAGTTTATTATATGGATGGATTTTATGAAGATAGTAATTGCCATAGATGAATTTCAATTATAATACCATTGTGAATGAAGAAGCAAAGAACAATTGTTTTGTTCTAGTATGGTTTCACTCAAATGAGTGATTCTAGTCGTTAAGTGTTCACTTTAATACTTTAAAGTGCCGGATTGAGGTCTCGCAGCTTTTTTCAACGTACTAATGTATCATATATATATATATATATATATATATATATATATATATATATATATATATATAGACAATCCCTGAGTAGTGACCAATGCTACATTTATGGTTGTAATGGGAATTTGTGAATTAAATTAGGATGTTGCGACTATTTTAAGTGACTGAATTTCGCGCACTCTATGTTGATACTTTATTTGATTGGAGGTTGTTGATAGCTAACCATAGACCTAGGTTTTATTGTTATTTGGCAAACATCAGCAAGTATGAGAAGTTGATTGATCAGGTAGGGAACTTTTTTTTATCGAATTAGGTAGTTAGGACATGCATTACGTACATTATTCCATTGACTAATCTTGTGAGCGATGATGATTAATGTACACTAATGCGTTGAAAGAATGGTAGGGAGGGTCAATCCAATACATGGATCGGTCCATGATGACATTGATTATCTAATTGATCCATGTAAGTAGGTGCAGATCATCTGGTTGGGTTCCCCTTGATTATTATAACGGGTGTTTAGATACTTGAAGTGACATTGTTTTAAATCAGTCTTCATGCCACAAGTGCGTTCACTCTTTGGCTTTCCTCAAATCGTAGTTTCTTAAATTCCGTATAACTTTTTTCTATTTCACTAATTTATATTGTCGCCTAATATTTTCTGTTTCCATCAGTAATACTATTATCATCTCTTCTACTTTAGAATTCATCTTGCTTTACTAATTGGGTATAAAGACTTGAATTGTTTTACACATGTGCTAAGTTCTATCTTGTGTTTGACCGATTAACTTTTTTTTCCACAATCAATATTTAGCACCATCTATGTACATCAACTCATCTCGTAACAAACTCCAATTCATCATCAACAACATTCATCAAAAAAATTTCAAAATCAATAAACAATAATCATAAAAGAAAACACAGAAGAAAACGTGAATTTGACAATAATGGATTTATGTAAATTTCTTTCTCCTCCTCCTCCTCCTCCTCCTCCTCCTTCTTCTTCTTCTTCTTCTTCTTCTTCTTCTTCTTCTTCTTCTTCTTCTTCTTCTTCTTCTTCATCGTCATCATCATATATTATGCGTATAGTTTCACAAGTTTAACATATATTATGCAAATGAATCTTTCCATATGTTTCTCTCTCTCTCCTCTCCTTCTCTTTTCTCTTTCAAGTCCTTATTGTTTCTGTTTTGTTGTTTTTGTTGTGCATATGTGTTTGTGTCAAGTACACTTTGGTATTGTTTGTGTACATTGTCTATTCACATTTTCTTTTCATATATGAATTCAATTTATGGTATGTATAATTCAATCATTGTTTTCCTTTTTCATCTTCGTCTATTTCATATTATACTTTAATTGTACAAATTCAATATCTATCTCTATACATATCAGATATAAGATGTTACCTTAGTTACAAGAATCTTTATTATTATTATTATTCAATTTGATCTTTTATCTATTGTATTCACATCAGTTTGTAAGATAACTGTTTTCTGTTTTATCTTGTAATCTCAAGAACTCTTCATGGTCTTTATCATTATTATTATTATTATCATCATCATCATCATCGAAATATTCAACATTCCATAGTAAGATCTCCAGGATATAACATTTTTCCTTTCAATGATGAATTTTTGTTAATTTGGCCTAGTTTAATAATTTGATCCATTCTACACTTTTGTTTCTGTTATGAGTGTTATTGGTGGTGGTGGTGGTGGTGGTAAAGAGAGGGTGAAAGATGTGTATAATTAACTTTATCGTCATCATCATCATCATCATTTATTTGTTCTTGTTTTGTATAGGGTAACAATTATCTGTTTATCGTTTTACAACTGTTTCTTTTTTGTTTTTGTATATGTAAACATTTACTTCTTCTTGTGTATTTACAAGATTTCAGGGTGTTTTCTTCTGTTATCAAAGAATTTCTTTTTTTTATAAAGAAAAAAAAAAGACAATGCATCTCATTCTTTAAAAATGATGTACAACTAATTAACTGTGTATACATTATATTTTGTTATAAGAACTAAATATAAATTTGATATTTTCTTGTAAATTATATAATTCAAAAGTCGATTGTCTCTCTTACTTTATCTTTAGTCAAGTAATTAGGTAATTAAGAAGATCACTTAGTGATAATTATCATTAATCAATGTTTGATAATGTCGAATAATTGGAGTAAATAGAGCTGTACTATTTAGACTACAAATTTAAAGCTTGGCTAGTGTCTAATTCTTCTGTTAAATGGGATCGAGCTGTACTGTTTTGGGTTGTTACGTGGAAGTCTGGATGATGTCTGGTTCTCCTGAAAACCAATGTAAAATTACCCTGGTTCACAAGGGTATATTATATATATTAAGTGGATTGTCAATAATAAAACAGTGATAAATTATTCATGTTCTAATATATTTTGGTTTCGAGTCCCACGAACGGGATCGTGGATGCGTACTACTGAGGAGTCTCATTATAAGACGAGACGGCCTTCCAGGTTTTCCATAATTATCTAGCTTTAATTGACTCATAAGTTCAACTATTAAATTATTATAATATCTACAAAATCCCTTTCAGAAATTAGAATTTCTGATATTTTAAGAGTTAATTTTAGTTATATGTTCAAAGAAAAAATGTGACTGAAATCAATTTAAACGATGTTGAACTTGAGGTATCACAAATGTAACACTCAATGATGTTACTGTCGATGTCAACCCTCTTAAGGCTGATAAGTATATATGATCGTTCGAGAATAACAATTCTAAAAACTTGAGATTCCCCAAAGTATTTTAACAAGGTTTGTTATTCCGTAGTACTAGTCATTTAGTTTGTTATAAATATATGTAGTACATAAATTGAAATAGTTTTGATTGGGTAACTTAATATATAAAGGATATTCCCAAGTGTTAATAAGGGCTAAATCATTCCATTTTTGGCTGATTCGAACTCAGATTTCTAAAGGATTATTAATCGCTTGACGCTCAGTTTTAGTCTATTAGTTTCTGTAGAATAACATTGTTTTATAAAATCTATCCAGCCATTATAAACTCGTTTCTAGCGATCTCAGGGTATTGTTTCCTGGTTGTGATTTGAGAAAACAGAATTCTTTGTGATTTACGTTTGTAATCTTCCTGATTTCATATTCCATCGTAACTGTTTTATTGCAGTTAGGCCTAAGTAATACGAATAATTAGTTGGTATAGCGTCAATAACGAATTCAGAAATCATAGGATCTATAGGTAACTGGTTAGATGGTATAAGAACACACATTCAACATACATATTGACTAAGGATTATAGTTTGCGGTTAAGAATTGCATTCATCGTAATAAATCAATCCGGAAACAATTCTCTATCTTTTTATGATTATTATGTTGCATTTTTTCTACATACGCCGTTGGAATAATTATTATGTTGTTCTGGGCATAAACTCGCATTTACAAACCCAACTCAATGAATATATATGCGTAAATACATATGTGCATATAATATTGTTTATTAGCGTTTTGATCATTCTTATGACATTTGATGTGTCGTGCGAGCCTCTTTGCGTTATATCGCAAGTCTTATTTTCCTTGAATCCAGTTCAGTCGGTGTACTTTACCTATGTCTAGTTTCACAGCCTTAATTTCTTCATTATGGTTCTATACGTTTGACAAACCTTTACCTAGTTCCGAAAATCATCAGTCTAATGGCCATGTGTACACTAGCTCAGTATTCCCATGCGAAATTTCAAACCAAGTTAGAAAACCAGCACCCGACCTTGAAGGCGACTCAATGTATGATGTTCTTAAGAACAAAGTCATTAGTCGAATGCCGTTATCCGACCAACCAACTGGTAGCAAATGGAACACTGCATGTCGCAATTGAAAAGGTACATGATCAGCATACTGGTCACTGGGATCATAGATGGACGAGTATTTTATTACCTATGTCACAGCTCTTACTACTCTGTGTGGTCATAAAGGAACACTCCACCGCTGTTAGACCTCGCAGTTACGTGCCGTCTACCGTGAGATCTCACCACTTTTCTAATCGATATAACCACCTTTCAGATTACATAAGAGCCTATCGTCATACGCCAATTCGTTTACGATGGTGTAATAAGGACAGTCGTCACAATGTTTCCCTTTCTCAGAAATGTATTGCAAATATTTCAACGTTTTATTTTTCAAATCGTACCAGGTTTATTTTGGGTATGTGCCTCTGTGGACGACCTACTTGTAGCCAGTGAAAATCATACAGAACATTTTACTAAAGTGAAAACTCAATTTTAAAATACTAAATGAATAAAATCAGCGATAATTTTTGTCTAATATGTTTTCAGTAAACATTGCTTTTTAGAGTTACATGCTGGATTAGGATGTCGACAGATTTTATTCGTTACCTGACACACTGGTAAAAGTGCGCCACCTTGCGGTGTTTAACAACGTCTCCTGTCACTTTTTCCCAGTGGAGTTACAACATCACGGCGCCCACCTCGTGGAAAGACATAAGGTTGTTCGCACTTGATACGACGACTAGTTATGGCAGTATAGTGATTTAAAAACACTGAAAAGCGTTAACTACTCAGGTATTGCTTTGTGATCAGAGCCAATGAAATACACTTATTACTTAAAATGGATTCCTCCAAAATCTCCATTAAATCAGTTCACAGTAGCAGGTAAGTAACAAATTGAAGTCACTTGATTTCCTCTCTGAAAGACGAAACGTATCTCAAACAATGTACATGATCTTCATGAAAGAATTTTTAGACATTCATCTAGTTATTAAGTACGTGCGCTAATTTTAAGATGGTATTACCTTCACGGTATTTACTGACCATGGAGCACTTACTAAATCTTCACATTAAATCACGATAAACACAGTGCTCACACAAATTGTTTAATTGTGTCGTATCTGATATTAAATAACATTAACATCAACGATACAGCGGAGGCATTTTTTAAGATAATGATGAGGACTCTAACTGTCTTAAGCTAGCGACATTACAAGCGGGATATTTTAGATTATCGGAAGCGTTGTTTTCTCCCAAAGCTCATTTATAATCCGAAGCTCAGTTGGACGGTGTAAAAAGTATGCTGGAACCCATTGGGAAGCAAAATTATGTTTAATATTTATTTTATTATTTATTTGGACACATGAATATTGGTACAGGGGAGCGCCAATATATATGCGCCACACAAAACAATGAAAATTCGAGAGGAATACAAAGAAAAAAAAAGCTAAGGAGCGCAACAAAAAAAAAGAGAGAACAATAACGAAGAGATTGGTGTAAGGTAATGTGCTAGTAATCAGGGAACGCAAAGGTACAATCGGAAGAAATCTTTCAGGTAAGGGGGACACAACCACTGTTTATGAAGAAAGTAAAAGAAGGTTACAGCAGGATCGCCACTGGCTTCTATTCTGAGCCATATCTGATAACGTCTCTAGCCACTGTGTAGCACCATCTCTCAGACCCCAACCAAGGAGTCGTGAAGAACCAACACACGCCAGTCCTTGGCAGCTTTCTTTCATGCCACGACACCATGTCATGCACTGACCACCTCTCCGCTTCTTCCAACCAGTCCCAGAGTCGGCAAATAATGCACGACGTGGAATTCTCTGGGACGACATTCGGAGAACATGTCCAAGCCACCGAAGTCGGTGTTTCAAGATGGTGACACCAATTGAATTATCATCTCTGTGCCCGAACACACGATGCCGAACCTCTGCATTACTGACATGGTGTTGCCACTGAATGTCAGCAATCCTTCGGAGACAGCGATGATCGAACACAGAGAGTCGTCTAACGTCCTCAACTCGGAGAGGCCAGGTTTCACAAGCATAGAGCAAAACTGCTCTCACCGACGCGTTGTAGATCCGACCTTTTACGGCCAGACTAACATCACGAAGGCGCCATAGATGGCCCAGATTGGTATAAGCCGCTCTGGCTTTCACTATATGTGCATTGATCTCATCACTCACACCCCCA